CGTATTGTCGGAAGGAACTCCAGAGTGGGTGAAGAAGGCATTACAGAAGCTTGAGGGAGAAGCTATTGCGTTGGCCAGAGAAGAATATACGCCGACCGACTTAGGAACAAAAGAGAACGAGCTGATCCCTGAAGAAGAATGGAAAAAGATTTACGAACCCTACGCAGGAGAACTGGAAAATCTCCAAAAACACTTGAATGAACCACAAGTAATGAAATATAAGTGTTCAATAGAATTGGAGAACCCAAATACCAAACCGTTCGTGTCAGGACCTTATAACCTCAAAGGAGAAAAGCAGCAAAGGCGTTAGAAGACGGAATCCAACTCATGAAGAATCTGGGAGTTGTAGAGACGGGATTTGCGCAATGGAAACTGGCCATTTTCGTTGTACCGCAAAAAATGAACGAACGTCAGAAACAAGACCCGAATTGCGAACAAGCATGGCGTGTAGTACAGAACCTGCAACCCTTAAATGCTGCTATCAAGGGGATAGAAATAGCCCCTCCGTTGATACCAGATGTGCTCACGATAGCGCAAGGACGACCGGTCCTAAGTTTGTTGGATCTAAAGAAAGCTTACTACCATATTGAAGTGCCCGAGAAATCTAGAGAATTTTTGGGTATTGCAGTGAAGAATGAACTACTTAGATTTCGAAAAATGCCGTTTGGAATAAAGATTGGACCAGCATTATGGTCTGCAAACATGTTAGAATGCATAGAAAAGCCTGTGACGAAAGATTATAGAGATCGAATTCGAGAAATGGAAAGAACGGACGAAGAAAATGCTGAGCCAATCAAAGTGTATATAGATGACATGGTTCTAGCAACCAAAACTATGGCAGATCACCTCGTCTTGTTGAAAATATTGTTTGAACAAATGGTAAAAATGCGATTAACAATAAGTATAAACAAGTGTTGGATTGGGAAAAAACGGATCAACGTCCTTGGTGTAACCGTGACAGAACACGAAGTGTTAGTACAACCTGATAGAATACGAGCACTTCGAGAGATACCACCTCCGAAGAATATAAACGAACTGCGTGGATGGATTGGCGCGCTACGATACCTGGCCAACCACATTCCAAGATTAAGCCTAATATTGACACGGTTTGACGAAAGGACGGGAAATGTTCCTTCTACGAGAGGAAAAGTCACACCACTGGAATGGACGGAAGAGTTGTTGGACGACTTTAAAATCTCCCAACAGGCGGTCAGTAATCCAGAGAAATTGTATCATTTCAAACCCGAATACAAAACGTATCTGGAAACAGATGCAAGTGAAAAGGGATTTGGCGCCATATTATTTCAAACCAAACCGGAAACAACGATTAATGAGATTGGACCTCACTCAAAAAACGTTTATCCTCTCGCCTATTACAGCCAGAAGTGGAAGACTCAATGCCAGAGAACTTATGACCCTTGCAAAAAGGAGTTGAAGGCCCTGCGCGAATCAGTACGGAAATTTAAAGAGGTATTGATAGGGACTTCGTTTACAATACTGACAGATAATATGGGAGTCTTGGGATTATTAAGAAAGATGCAACAACCCAAGCAACCCAGTCAAGATTATCTTGTGCTGCGCTGGTTAAATGAATTATCAGTATACCCAATCAAACAGGCGATACATAGGACTACTCACGAAGTATTCACGTCAGATGGACTGTCGAGATCGGGTTGGATGGAAATGGCCGTGGATGACAAAGACCCGGGAGTTTGGCCCGCGGCAGCAGCGACCCTACCGGGACAAAAACTAAAAGGGAATGATGAAATATCTCGTTTCATAGTCTATCATCTTCGACACAAGATTTGTGAACATGGCCAAAAGGGAATTCACCCGTGGACTGACATTCAATACATAGTGTGGAAACAATTCGGAGAATGGCTTCCCCAAAGGAAACTGCAAGAAATTCTTGAAAGAGGGGGGAGAGTAACAATGTCAGACGAAGGCATAGGGGCTGTCTGTGGACACTCAAAAGGCGAAAACCCCGATTATGAAAGGTACGAAGGAAACGAACCGTTATAACACATGACGCAAAAGAATAAAATAATGAGCATACTGACCAATGGACTGAAGAAAAAACAGAGAAGATTTATACACCTCACAAACGATCCGAAGAAAATTCGTGGAAAAAGGACGGAGCGATTGGAGATATGGCCGACGGAAGATCTGGGGATCGTGAAAACACCGAATTCAAAGATATTCTTAGCTCCGGATACGATACCGGTGGACAGGATAAAATTGTTGACTCATAAACATCCAATCGCAGACAAAAAACAATAAAGCAAAAAGTGGGCGGTTAATTCATTAGACCCTCATGATGAATAAGGTTGATGCACTACTTCGCACTCCGTTTTCGCAGCTGCCGCTGGAACAAAAATTAGAGGTACAACGTCTTGGGCCTTATCAACCAAAAAATTGTTCACTGGAACAATCCAATGACGGAGAAAAGCGTCGGCGTACATTCTGCGCAGAAACTTGGTATAAAAAACACGAATGGATGTGTTACAGCGAGGACAAAAATGCACTTTTTTGTTTTTATTGCCTACTTTTTGTTACCGCCCGTGACTCACGTTGGTGTAAATTTGGTTTTAGAGATCTTAAACATCTTTCCGAGCGTGCCAGGGATCATCAATCTTCTATAGAGCATCTGGACAATGCAGTAAAATACCGAACATTCGGAAATGTTAATATTGCAGCACAGTTGGATGAAGGACGCGCGGTTTCTATTCGTCGGCACAACCAAAACGTCGAGAAAAACCGCCATGTTCTCGGTCGATTGATAGATGTTTTGAAGTTGGTTGTCACGAGCTGCCCTCCGTGGGCACGATGAACGGGCTGGCTCTTCTAATAGAGGGGTATTTTTGGATATGGTGGAATACACCGCATCCCTATAGATACAGTATTGAGAGATCATCTTGATGTCGCAACTGTTTCGAAAGGGACATCTAAGGATATCCAAAATGATTTGCTCGACTCAATGTATAAAATTTATTTACAACATTTGGCTCTGGAAATTGAGAATTGCCAGTTCCTTTCGATTCAGTCTGACGAGACAACTGACATCACGTGCGTTTCCCAACTGGCTGTGATTTTTCGGTTTGTGAAAGATGGTAAACCTACCGAGAGATTTCACAGCTTTGTACCAATCGTTGATCGCACGGCTTGCGGGATATCGGCTGTACTGAAAGAAGTGTTACAGCCTTACAACGCGAAGTCAAAATTGATAGCTCAAACTTATGACAGCGCGGCAGTCATGAGTGGGTCGAAACATGGTGTTCACGTTTATATAAAAGAAGATTTTCCTCATGCGCATTTTTTACATTGTTATGCACACCAATTTAACCTCGTTATTAAAAATATGTGTCTTGATACCCCTCTCGTCCGTATATTTTTTGCAAATGTTTCGGGGTTTTCTTCCGTTTCGCCGAAGCGCTCTGACTTCCTTCGCCAGATATGTAGCCGCCGTCTTCCAGCTTGTGCACCAACACGTTGGAACTTCCAATCACGCGTGGTGCAGGGCGTGTCCGAAATTAGGTCTGAGCTCATTGAGTGTTTCAATGGCATTCAGAGCTCTCCGGTTTGGGACGAACGCTCTGTGAGGGAGGCGGCAGGTCTAAAGCGTCTACTAGAAGATGGTGAGTTTTCATTTTTTCTCGCTTTTTTCTCCACAATATTCTATCACGTGGATGTATTATACGGCGCATTGCAGTCAAGGCTACTGGATGGAGCGTCTGTGCAGTCGTGTATTTCAGACTTCTGCGATGCTGTATCTCGTATCCGGGAAACAATAAAATACGACGACACATGGAGTGCTTCTTTACGCCGCGGGCAAACAACGCAGCGTTTGATTTTGTCTGAAAAGGAATGCTGTGACATTCTGGTGAATCAAATAGGCGATCGTCTGCGCACTGAACACCTTGCCGCGTTCTCTTTGATGAACCCCAAAAATTTTTCAAAATTTGCACGTCAATTTCCCATCCATTTGTTGGCTACTGTCTCCAAATTTTACCCCATGATGAACGTGGGTAAATTGGAAAATGAATTGCGATGTATATACACCAATCAAACTTTTTTGAACATCACATCAATGTCATTGATCACATCAACTTGCGCGCTCTATGGGTTCCTCATAGATAACACTCTAGTAACTACCTTTGCGGCGTCTGCAAAATTTCTGGACATCATTTTGACGACGCCTATTTTTTCCGCCGACGCAGAGCGAACATTCAGCACGCTGAAGCGTATTAAAACGTATCTCAGAAACACAATGAAGCAAGATAGATTAAATTCCTTGGCTGTTTTATCCATTCACAGAGACGTTATTTCTGGGATGCATGACTTTAATCAGCGCGTTATTGAGCATTTTGCTTCCAAGAAACCGCGGCGTATTGCATATATGTTCAAGCAGTAGAAGTCTAGCAGCATATATATCTATGAGTGAGCGACGCATGTCCTTATCTTTGCATTAACTTTCCTTTCTTCATAGTAACGTTTTAAACCTTATTTTAGGTTTTGTCTGCTTTCCCGAAGTTTCTGTTAATATGTCATTGTATTTATCTGGGTAAATATTGCCTTTCCTTTTGAAAGAGGTTTCAAAATAAACTATGTCTATATTTATTAATCCCTTGACTTGGTCCGGTTTTAAAGACACTTTCTTATCGTTAAAAATTGTCGCTTTTGCCGATGGAATGGTTTTTATACTCATAAAATGATGGGAGAACTTACAGCGCTCATCCTGTCCCCGTAGATGGGGGTGACTTGGTCCCGCAGTAGCTTGCCCCGGTTGTTAAAATGACCACGCGCCGCCACTGCAAATGACCCTATATTTTGAATATACCGGTATTCAATATCCCAATTTTTTCAAAATGTAATATTCAGTGTTGGCCACATCAGATATTATATACCCTGTCTCATGCAAAATTGGTTTCCTCTCTGATTGCCTACCACACCCTTTGCTAATATTCACAATAACCCTAAACCATAGCTTAAAAACACAATCATAGAATGTCAAAAGTAATAATGTATTGAATAAATATAGATCTGAAATATATAGATCAAGTATCACATGTCAACAATTTTGACTAGAAGTGAAAGTTAATTCAGCTGCCATGATCCCTGAAAGCTTTAAAATGACCATATCCTTTTCCTTATCGAAATTCAAAAAAAAACAAAAAAAAAAACAATAGTTCTCAGTCTGTATGCAAGTGAAAAAGATAATAACTTCTTTAATTAGTAATTTTTGAACAAAGTAGGCAAGCAGCTGCCAGGTTATCATAATGTGTTACCAGATTACCACATTGATATGGGGAGGGAATACCTCACAGAGAAATGTAATAACATTTCAACATGATCTCAGTAACACTTCTGTTTGTGGTCGGTAGTAATGGTGCAGTATGCCCATAATCTGATCACAAGTTAGCATGAAAACAAAATAGAACTACTTCTGTAATTCACAAGTTATTAGTTTGGCATCAACTTCTCTTCATAATTTCAATTTGAACATATAAACATAAATGATAAAATCCCATCAGCGGCTTGGCATATCCTGGTACCTGATTATTCATTGGCCAAACACTAGTATTTTTTGTGTATGATAGTAACATCCTCTGGCAAACTTTGATACGTTGTCATTCACCGAGTCAGTCCAACATGTCCCATGTAACAACAAAACAGTTTCACTATGTTTTGTTACAAAAACAGTTACTCGCTGGTCCATGCCCCTGTAGCATCATCACTGTTTGATGAATTTGTTGTTACAGTTGCCTGATTCATTCTCTTTCTAATGCTATGTACAGATGGTTTTGGTGTTTCGTCAAATCCATCACTTTCCATTATGAGAGCTCGTTCCAATATTATTCTTCCCTCTTTGTATCTGAAAATATACATTTCTATTTGTGCAATTTTCTAAACATCAAAAAGGGAGACAGCTGTCAGAATGTTTGACTACTTCTTTACAACACTGGTCATCATGAATATGAAGCACACTGGTGTGAGGCGTATTAAACAAGTATTTTATGAAAGAAGGTGGTCATGTATTGGTAATACTCATCAGATCGGCATTGGAGTATGTATAAAACTACACAGCCATGTTCTATGAAGACTAAGAAATTTTTATTTCAAAAGTTTTTCCAAGAGCAATAGTTATGTGGAATTCTCTACCTCATTCACTACGAACTGACTTGAAATACTTCAACCCTCACATCAATTTGTATTTATTACACCACCATTATCTCGATTTAGCTCCAGGCAATGCTATAGTCCAGGGGTGCACAACTCAAATGAGGACACGTGCCAAATTTTTCAAAATAATCTTGTCGCGTGCCACACACAATCGTTGGTATGGACCTTTACCCGACCTCTGACCTTCGTAAAATTCTTCCTATACTTTACCATTGCAAAATTGTCGGTGCTTATTTTAAGAATGGTTACGCGAATTGGCGCCTGTAAAATGGGATACTTGTTTCAAGCCATCATTCTGATTCATTGCATTCAACAATCTGTTTTTTTTTTAAATACCGATAAGGAATTTTAGCCTATTCTATCACAGCTATATATATCTACACTAATTTTTGATTACTGCAATTAAACTGAAACTCCTAAGAAGACAAAGTGATCATTGAATTATTTTATATATATTTACATATCTGAAATACAACTGAAAACTAACGAATAGAATTCAAAAACGCGAAAACGAGGTAATGTTCAGGAACAGGCCTTAAAATCTGTCTGAGCGACAAAAATGACTGAGCGTCACTTTTTGCACCTTGCTGATTGGGCAATGTCACGAAGTAAACAAGGAAGTCGATGCTCGGGAAACAACATTTGTAAGTGAACTCCCGTAAAACACACATCAAACAAATTTCAATAATAATACATAATAACGAATATCTATTAATTGAAACAATTTAATAAATTGAAAAACTGCTGATTTTGATATAAATGTGATATTTTAATGTAGCCTATGTCATAAATAATTTTTTTTTTACGAAACCGTTCGCGTGCCACGTTTGAGCGTATGACGTGCCAAATTTGGCACGCGTGCCTCGTGTTGTGCACCCCTGCTATAGTCGTTTACTAAGAGATGAGATCCCTTCACTTCTGAGTGTGTGTGACCATGCTCTTAGCACACTCTCATTACAAAAAACAATCCTTTACCTCTGTGCTTCTTCTGTTGCATATTCATACATCCATCCCAGCTTAGTCTTACAATTTCTACAGCAAACATCTCGTACCATATGACGACCCGTCAACATGACTCTATCTTGAACTTCACTGTAAGTCAAGTTTACCACCTGTAATTAGAAAATTAGTTACTATTGGTAAAAATTACGGTAATATTGAGACTGAAATCAGCCTTATTAAGACTGAAATCAGCCTGAACGAGTATCTCATCTAAGACCCATATTTGAAATTGAACAAGCGAAGCATCAAATAGTAATTACTGGGATCCTAATTACTTTAATTGTGTACAGATCTTTATTTCGCAACCAGCATTATTACCCAGCATTACCTTGCTGAACAAAAATGCTCGTCCAGTAGCTCCAGTGAATCTCGTAGATATTAATTCCACACGATTTGTCAATGATGTATCACAGGTTGCACATGCAAACAATCTTGAACCTCCAATATGTTCGAGAAAGATACGACCCATGATTAATTAAATATTACAATTCTACACTAGAAATTGAAGTAACAAACATGTTAATAATAAAAAATTGTTTGAATAATTTAATGACAAATTTGGTAGACCTATTCATTTTCATATCCAAAATAATTTCCAATCAAAGCTAAACGCAGCCTCACAGTTAGTTGAAAACTTCTCAAAAGAAGGGATTCTTGCTGAATATTATGTTTGTATTATTTGTACTATAATATTCAATATGCCTTGAGTTTGCATATTGGATAGAGGAACTGAGAAAAAATGTCAAAACAATACCACTTTATCTAAATGATCAAAAGCATATTGATAAATTTTATAATCCTAGAAGGTTAACCCTTACTACTCATTTGGATCAAAATATTATATATAAAAATATAAAGTTGGTATATATACATTCTTTAACTAGATTTTAGGCTGATTCTTTTGATTTTTGTGGATAATTGTTGTGACTGATGACGCAACTTCGCCTGCATATCAGATTTGCAAATTGTTGAAATATCAGCACTAATAACTTCATGATACAATTGGCCAATTTGTTTTTTTATTTTTTTGTACGTCGTAACAGAGATATCATTTTCAGACAATAATTTTTTGCTTTCATCAACTTGTTTACAAACTCTTGTCTGGACATCTTTCAGGCATGATTCTGAGTCCTCAGCTGGCCTTCCTGTTAAACATTTAACAGTTGTTCTATTTAATCCCTGGCTTTTGCAAGATAGTATAACAAACTGCCCAATATCTCCAGTTTTTTGAACATGTGTGCCACCACATAATTCAACAGAGTGGTTATTTTGAGAACATTTACCAATAGAAATAATTCTAGCTGGATCAGAATATATATTGTCTGTTAGTCTTCGGATGTTACCATCATCAAGAGCATCATTCAAAGCAATGTTACTGGCAACCACATTACCATCTGATAAAATTTGAGTGCGAACTACTTGTAAGATTTTATTGAGTTGAGAGCTTGTTGGTGTGGGTCCATTCAAAGTTAATCGAAAGCTATCTTCATCTACTTTCGATCCTTGTTGAATAATATCAGATACGATAATTTCTCTCCATGCATGGTTAATAATATGAGTTGCAGTGTGAGCCCGCATGCATGCCCGTCTTCTTGCTGGATTTAGCGATAATTTAACCTCATCCCCAACTTTTAGACTCATACATTCTCTAGAAATGTATCCATGATGAAATATGTACCCTCCAGCGTAATTGACATCCAATATACTGAAGGCTTCTGTGTTATCAACATCCACTGATCCCTTGTCTGCAACTTGTCCACCATCAGTATAATAGAAAGAACTTTTATCAAAAACAAGAGCACAGTGGAGACCAGGTTCGACAGTGTCCAATAATTTGCCTTCGCTTGAAATAACACATAACAATTTTGAAGCTAATGATGGAAAATTATATGACCTAGTATCATTATTTCTTACAGTAATATATTTTGGTTGTGCATCTGTGGCAGGAATATTTTTCGACCTCATATCATTGATAATATTTGATGTAATTTCAATATTTTGTTTCATTTGTTTATTCTCGATTTCTCTTCCTGATTGTTTCAACTCTTCTCGGCCTTCTTGATATCTATTGAATTCATCAATATCCAAAACAATATCTTTCTCGTTAAGATTATTTATTATTAATTCAATGGGATATCCATAATGATTATACAGTAGAATAGCAGTTTCCATTGGAAAATTTTTTTTTCTTACTAATATTCTTTATAGCTTTATTGAATATTTTTTCACCCTTTTTTAGAACATTAATGAAACTATCTTCTTCGTTGCGAATTATTCTTATTACGTCAATTTGACGATCTTTCATGTACAGATAATGTGACGATAAGAAACCTACTACAATTGGAACTAATTCACATAAAAGTCCATCAGGAGCATGTAATATTTGTTTTGATTTGAGGTAAGCTCGACGTAACACTCTCCTCAAGATTAACTCAGCCCCTGCATTCCCGGGATAAACATGATCAGATATTGCAACTACTAGCATACGTATATGGTCACTAACAATCCTGTATGCTTCGTCTATAGGAGTATTTGTACCTTGATATTTTGGACAATTGCAAATTTCTCCAATTTGGTTCAAAATAGGTAGAAATAAATCTGTATCATAATTTGATTTCTTATTCTGCAAAATTGCAGTAATTCGTTCCAATCCCATTCCTGTATCAACATGATTTGTTGGTAAATATACCAGATCTTCATTTGTAATTCTATTGTATTGCATAAATACTAAATTCCATATTTCAACAACGTCTGAATGACCAGCATTTACCAAATCTCGCCCGTTTCCGGCATAATCATAATGAATCTCTGTACAAGGCCCACATGGCCCTTTATCTCCCATTTCCCAGAAATTATCTTTAAATCCAAATGGTAAAATGTTCTTACTGGGTACTCCAAGAGATTTCCACACATCTCTTGTACTCGTATCAGTGTCTAGTTTTTGTAAATCATCCCCTCCAAAATAGGTAAAATACAATCTATCTAAGGGTAATTTAAATTGTTCAGTCAACAATTCAAGTGCCATCTCGCAAGCTTTTTTTTTAAAGTAATCTCCAAAAGACCATGAACCCAACATTTCAAAAAATGTGTGGTGTGATGTGTCCTTACCAACATCTTGCAAATCATTGTGCTTCCCTCCTGCACGTATACATTTTTGACTGTTAACAGCTCGTCTTAATGAAGACATTTTGTCATTTGGATCAATAGTGTCTAATATTTTTGGCTTGAACTGGTTCATTCCGGCATTGACAAAAAGTAATGAGGGATCGCTGAGAAGTTTGACCGATGATGAAGAAATGAATTCAGGGTTGGGTTGTTTATGAAAAAAATCAATGAACTTTTTTCTGATTTCATAAGATGACATTGAAAATCTTGACGTATAAATTAAATCCTTTGAAGACCTTACTACAAGACATCTTCTCACACAATAGGAACTCATCGTCATAGAAGACAAATTTAGGTTCTACAGTAGTACTCGAAAATCATGGAATGATATAATTAGGTCATGAAAGAGAACTAGTCACAATAAATATATATAATATATAAATATATGTATGTGTTAATAGCAAAGTAGCTCTTATTTCAGTATTTGACATAGTCCAGTAGTCAGTTATCAGGTCACGGTACCAAACAAAAAGACTTTAATTTTGTTTTATACTAGAGCCACCAAAATGAATTGGTTGATTGGTTTAGGATAGGATACACATATTTATCCCGGGGGAGAGTACCAACCAGCGGTTATGTGAACCACCCTACGGCGGCGAGGAGTCCAGCAATCCTCTCGCACATAACCATCCTCTCATGGGATTCGAACCCACGCAGAGTAATTCAGTAATTACAGATGCGGTGACGAGCGTATTGCTAATGCTTAGCACGATGAGCACCACCGCTACGCCCGCGTTTATCAAGTAAAGTGCAGAAATTAAGATAGATTTGAAAGATATACCGTACTGGATATCAGATCGGTTTACAGCTTTCGCCCTCTGGACTTTTCTGATCAGTTTGAGTTCAAGTTATGACAGTATGACTTCAATTTTCAGTTTCCTCGGGAGTCGTTTAAAAATAATTTTAAAGATTTATTTATGAATATTTATTTACCACAGTAGCAACATATATAGGCTTACCATAAATCTGAAACAAAAAACCGGGACGGTGCGATTTGGCAAACATTCGGTCGATTGCCAGTCTTGATAATATTGGAACGTCTACCATGCCATTGCGGGTATATACGGCTGTAAATCTCTACTGATCATTGAATTAAAAAAAACACAAAAAATTAGTTTGTATCATTCATTTAGACCAAAAGTATTTGTCCGCAGATGGAACCTTTCTCAATAATTCTTGTTTTGATTTTGTCATAAAACTGATAACAAGAGACATCACCATTAAATTTGCAGGTTACTGAGTGATTTTATATTTTCTTCTGGCATTCTGCACCTGCTTTCGGACCAAAATTTTTTAACAATGGAAAAAATCCTTTTGACAGATTCCGATGTTCCGAAAAACAAAATCAACCAATTTGCTGCAAATTCGAAATGCTAATATTTCTGTTAGAATAAACGTTAAACAAATCTGTCCACTTAATTTCAACCGGCAAAGTAAGTCAAATTGCATTTGAACCATGCTCAGATAAAAATCTCTTTATCAGTATTCGTCGAAAAGTGCATCGCTATTCAAAACCTGATCAGCTAATCAAACATATCATTTATCAATTTTGCAGACCAAACACTTCAGTCCAGTTTATTTCACTTTTCAAATTTGTCCATATGTGTGGCCTGGCAGCATTGTAGGCTTCATCGTGCAGCTCTATATACGATAGACATTTCTCGTAAAAATCGCAAACATTCTTTTTAAATACAAATTTTTTCCCTGCAAATTTAGCTTCACCTCTGACAGAAAATTTGCAACATCTACGGCAGGGGTCGGTAACCTTTTGTCGCCCGCGGGCCAAAATTAAGGGTTGCGAGTCATTGGCGGGCCGCACATATTTTTAGAAAGTTGAAACTGAACGGATGATCCTTTTTATATTAAAAATCAAGCAGTGATAAATCTCTCGAATAGAATATAGATTTATTTCCTCATTGCATCTCAAAAAATTCCATTTGAATATTTTCAGCGCCATTGAACCCTTTGCACTTAGCATCAACTTTTCTGTGTTTTGTTGCCATTCGAGCTTGGTGTAAATCATCATTAAATTCAGAGGAGAACAGCGGAGCAATGCACCAACTCTCATTTATTTCTGGCTAAACATGCAAAATCAGCGGATCCGCTTATCAGACAGCGGACATCAGAAATTCTAACTGTGTATATTTACAAGTTAATGCAAATTTAGCCTCAAAAAAATTTGAAATTAATTTAGAGGTGCAGTCAAAACTTTGGTCATGAATAGCAGTGTGATAGGTAAATGTCGGCTGCCAACGACACAGAATCATCCGAATTTGTTATCGCAAAATTGGTCAGTCGAGTCAATGCCTAAATGTTTTGTGCTTCCTGCTTTGGATATGATCGTTGACATCTGAACGTCCGCCATGACTAATAGAAAAACAGATCTGCAATGCGTACCGTACAGTGTACCTTTCCTCCTTCAGTTTGCTTCAAATAAGGAAAATCTTTCTTCAACTCATCAGAAAACTTGTACTTTCTTTTTGGCATTTCGACAACTTAACAACATTGCAGTTAACGCCAGAAAACGCATTAAAACATATACCAATTGTGACATAACAATAGAGCGATTTCTCTCTCTGAACTAGCAAAGTGTGTCGCAAAACAGTGGTAAATGGGCTGTCACTGTTAGAAAAAAATTTGTAATAATAATGAATTTGAATTTTTTACCCATGAAAACCGTGCTGACAAACCGGGACATTTGAGTCAACCGGCCGGGACGCCGGGACAGCTTGTCAAATCCGGGACTGTCCCGGCTAAACCGGGACGTATGGTAAGCCTAAACATATACCCATACCTTCGGTTCTGGTACAATCCTAGCCCTGTAACCCTAACTAGGCTATACACAAATGTCTTATAAGGCTATAAATCTACATGCAGACATGTAGACTATTATATACTGTATATAAATTATTATTTCTAAACAACTGTTAAGGCGAACGTAAAACAAAATCATAACTCAAATGAATAAATAAAAACTGACTTATGGAATACTAGGCTAAATTGAAGATTTTTCATTCAAAACAGCCCAATACTGCAATAGCTGTAAAGCGTAACAAAACAGCAATAACGGAATACCGTAACATGGCACAACCCTGCATTCACAATCAGACAATGGCGATTGTTTTCGTTTTCATGCTGAATCAGCTGTCGATCACGTGATAATTTGATCCACGTCATTTTCATTATTTCCTTGATAATAAAAAGAACCCTATCGTCATTTTTTTGTGATACTCCGCCAACTTTGTGGTTATTTCAAGCGTAGGGATCAGAAATTCGATTCCGACTCCCAGGAGTTCGAAAATCCGCATACAGTAAAATGAAAAATGCCAAACTACGCAATGCAAGTCTGTCCGCCAAGCGAATAAAGATAGCAGGAAACAACAAATGACGGAATAGCAGAGAATGCTTTTTATTGATAATGGGAGCCACTCTGTATGTTCTTAACCTTGACAAAATTCAAAAAGCGCAACGAAAGGTCCCGTATGTTTGCGCTGATAAATTTGGGCAATCGTGGGTCATCACACGCTGCATGTTTTCTGGGCATAGCCAGCAGTGTCTGTAATGTACCACCGAACTTCTTCTCCAACAAACAGAATGTTATTGGTATATTTAGATTAGCAGCTAGATATTCACCAAGACACTACTGTAGCGTCACCAAAATTTCAAGCAAATCAAATCTTTTTTTTCAAATATCATCTGATCGTCCGGCGTTAACGGAACCATCTTTGTAACATTCTACTTTTAAAACGAGGCATGGCGTTGTAGTAAATTGCTTACACATTTCATTTAGTCCGAATTTCAATGGATTCAGTTTATGTAACACAATGATTCTGCATTTTCTATCAGTTATAAGCAGAATTCATTAGTTGATATTAAAGTAATCAAGTAAAGTAATCAAGAGATGCGCCCTAGTTTGAGGTCTTTTAATTAGAAAATGATTAGAAAACAGAATTAAACGTTAAATCTCTATTCGAGGATACGCAGACGACATCAGACAACGCGAAGAAGCGGGCGTATAAGTTATTTGTGCTTACCAAGGATCGTTAGATTTAGACTAGTGCGTTTTCTCGCCAGCTGATGTGGTAGTACGGTATATTTCAAATGATTAGTTGTTCCGAATGTGTTGTTGCAAGCAACCTTTAAAAATTCCTATTTTTCTCATATACTGTCCGTTGTTTATAAAGCAGTGCCGTCTTACAGTTCATCAGTAGCGAGCTCTTGTTTTCCTTGAAATAGTAAGGATCATGAATATATTGATACTGTACATCACTCTTTGTACTGCTTTGTCGAGCGTGAATGCACTGACTCCTCAAATATCAATGTATATTAATGAAGGCGTAAATCGCCGTCAACATGTCCCAGTGAACCCCGACGAAAACCTTATCACGGCAGTCTGTAAGACGAACTTGGAAATGGTTGAGACAAACGCTACAACTGCATTATCTGGTTAGTATCCTTTATAATGATAAATTAATTGATACTCCTAACAGTAAAAACGGTCGTTACGCGAGCCATCAGGATGATACAAAACAGCAGACTTTAAAAAGTTCTGCCGCCTATCGCCATAACATCTGCGCTTCTATTATATATGTGTAATGTTTAAGATATTTTTGTAATCTTCGTAAGATTCCACCTGATCCATACCATGTCGTCCTACAAGTTTTCTGGGCTAGTTCGACGTATTTACCAACCGACTGGGAACTACAGGTATACTTCTTGTTCCAAAACTCATGATGTGAAAATTTTGAGTGAGTGTGATCAATGTTAAATGTATTGGTTCACGAAGGAAAGCAAAGTAAGCATAATAACAATCATAACTAGCGCACATTAGATTGCCTGTAAACTTTGTGTGTAAAGTGTAAATATTTTGCAGCTGACACCTCACCCACAAACTCCATTGTAGATATCTATCGAAAATGCAAGGTATCTGGCACAAGATATTGTCGACTACGATTGCTACAGCCGGAGAGACGATATCTAATCTCTCGTGAGATAGATTGGACAAAAAATTATAGCGTTATTGCGACAAAATATCAGAGCATTCCTGTGCATTGCCACGAAAATGATGTTTCGAATTATGCAAAGATTATATTTCAAGGTTATTATATATGATACTAGTTTGAGACAGCCTGTATATATTAGATTTGTATAATTAGCACATACTAACTATTGTAAATGCGATTAAAATCACAATAACCTGTAAACATAATTATATTTGTTACACTAATTGGATGTTTTTATGCTAATCTATGACATAATTCATCCATGCATCAAGCTATGCTGGAATACATATGGCACAAATTCACTCAGATGCCGGAAAATGAACTGGGAGGTACTAAATATGCCGTATAGTCTACTCTCTCTCGCTCACACTTCAATATATATATATATTATATTTTATAAATTGCCTTTAGATCATTTTGAAACAAACTCTACGAAACATGTCTCCCTTTACTCCACAATGTGAAGAAGACGAAGAGCATGGTTATGGGTTTTACGTGACTATGTGAGTCGGTATAATGATAACCGTTTTCATTTAATTTAGACATTGGCATTGTTATTGGCGTGCTTTGTTCTTGTGCTTATTAAAAAATAACAGTCGAGTAAGCAAATATGTACCATGCAAAAACATAACCTAATGTATAGTTTAATACTATCCAAAAACTTAAAAAATAAATGACAATTAAATACGGAAATATTGTAAATAGTTTACCTAATAATCTTGTTATACATATTGTTCTATAATCATTAATCTATAGTGACAACATATCCAAAAAGTTTTATGCACTGAATTCATTACAGTATTACTCAAAAAATATTTAATGTTCAGCGTTACCACTTACTTTATATTCGAAAATGTACAATTTAACAGTTTGCTGTAAAATCTCCACTGTATGTTCGGCGATTCAATCAAACCTTGCATTCTTCCGTGGGCAGTTCAAATTCTGATTTATGTATTTAAACAGGTGCATATTCGGATTCTTAACAATTCTCGTTGTTATTGGCACTCTCCTGGAATTATGTACTGGATTCCATCAAAACAAAACGCAATACATAAAAGGAAAATGGAAGAAACAAACATCGGTTCCAGGTTGGAGATCCTCCAGATGCACGATTCCGTGCGAGTACAAAAATAAAATAAATATCATCGTTATTTGTGGAAAAATTTGCGATTCAGAGACAATAAGCACCAACGTAAAAGACGTTTACGACCTAAATAACACGCCACGATGTCAAAAACAATCAATTTTAGCAAAAGGCAATTGCACGCGTTATTGGCGACCTTTTCGGTTCTCAACCCCCCATGTCAGTCATGTTACAGGCATGACGAAATAAAATATCTGAATCTGAACTAAGATAACAATTATGCACGTTTGTAGAGAGGCGTTAAATATTGAGAAGGTTCAATCGGAAAATGTTTCAATAAAAAATTTCAAATTGGGAGAACAATTATACTCGTATTTTTATTTAAATAGTAATAATCGCACAAGTATCTTAATTCAACAACAGTCTTGAAAATTCAAGAGGGCGCATTTTGAGTTTTGCTATGGGCGCGCCATTTTACATAGATACGCCCCTGCTCAATGGTCGGCAACCTTTTGTCGCTCGTTGGCCAAAATTAAGGTTTGCAAGTCATTGGCGGGCCGCACATATTTTTAGAAAGTTGAAAACCGAACGGATAATACTTTTTATAATAATAAATATCAAGCAGTGATACATCTATCGAATAGATTTATTTCCTCATCGCATCTCAAAAAAATGCCATTTGAATATTTTCGGCGCCATTGAACCCTTTTCACTTAGCATCAACTTCTGCGTTTTGTTGCAATTTGATAGGCTCATTAAGCGATAATTGTAAATTATATACTTGTTAGGGTATAATGTTATTTAGTCTACACGTGTCTTACAATAAATTCTATTACCTAAAGAATATAGTCGTCAAAACAGCTGTTTTGTTACTATAATTCAGTGAACCGCCGCATCCGGCCCGCGGGCCGTAGGTTGCCGACCCTTGGTGTAGCTGCTTTAATAACCAGCTTCGGTTCTCCACGGTCCTTTAATTTAGCGTGATATTTTTGCTAGATGGAAGAAATAAACTTGACTATGACTTTACAATCCGAAGTTAAAGCCAAAGCACCACTCTCACATATTTGGAACAGACAACTTATCATCCTAAAACAAATCAACTACCTAATTAGTTATATTAGTTCCATTAGGGAAGACCAGGCAACAAGAGAAAATAGATTACCAACCAAAACAATGTTTTGGGCACAAAAAAAAGAAAATTCCAGAATATACAATGATTTATGATCCACAGACAAATGACCCTAAATTTTGAATATATAATTGTCATCATGAATATCATAACGTGATTAAATATTCAGGTTTGACCACATCAGCTACTGCCGTGTTTACCCGAAAATAGGAGCTTGTTTGAAAAAAAAACATGTCCCCCCCCCCTCTTAAAATAGACCCTAGTTGGTTTTTAAAAAAAAGAAATTGTTATTTGATAAGTAAATGGATATCGGTTCCATATTTTGTATATTTGAATATCTTGTGATTTTCTACTTTGTAATTTTGTTTTTGACAAATGAAAATAAAAGGCATCCCCCAAAAAGAAGCCCTAGTTTTATTTTTCGAAAGAAAATTGAATCTCGGAGAAACACGGTATATATCCTGTCTCATACAAAATCAGTCGTGGATGTTCTCTCTGAACTGATTGCCTACCACAGCCTTTGCTAATATTTACGCTAACCCTAAACCATAGCTTGAATACGCAATCATAGAATGTCAAAAGTAATAAATAATGTATTGAATAAATATAGATCTGAAATATATAGATAAAGTATCACTTTAAAAGGACCATATCCTTTTCCTTATTGAAAAAAAACACAAAACAATAGTTCTTAGTCTATATGCATGCAAGTGAAAAAGACCTTTAAAAATTAAATGTAAGATAATAATAACTTCTTTAATTAGTAATTTTTGCACAAAGTAGGCAAGCAGCTGCCAGGTAATCATAATGTGTTACTAGATTACCACATTGATATGGGGAGGGAATACCTCACAGAGAAATGTCATGATCTCAGTAACATTTCTATATGTGGTCGGACGTAATGGTGCAGTATGCTCATAATCTGATCACAAGTTAGCATGAAAACAAAATAGAACTAGAGCTGCGTGCAGCTTTAACAGGCTTCCCGCGTAAAAAAAACTGAAGACGCGTTTTGCTCACTGGAGCGTGAAAGCGTGGTCAGTCATGCATAAAATTTGCAATTTATGATGGGGGACTTATTATCTGCATGTCATGTAAATTTCAAGTCTCTAAGTAGGGTCGTTCTCGAGAAGAAGATGAAAATGTAAAATCCTAAATTGCTCACTGGAGCGTATCGCCGAGGTCACTCATGCGTGTCCTTGACATATCGTATCCGGAACATGTCCATTAATCATTGTTATGAATTTCAACCCAATAGCATGTATCAATTTTGAGAAATTGCAAAAAAACTGAAGACGCGTTTTGCTCACTGGAGCGTGAAAGCGTGGTCAGTCATGCATAAAATTTGCAAATTATGATGGGGGACTTATTGTCTGCATGTGATGTAAATTTCAAGTCTCTAAGTAGTGTCGTTCTCGAGAAGAAGATGAAAATGTAAAATCCTATATTGCTCACTGGAGCGTATCGCCAAGGTCACTCATGCGTATCCTTGACATATTGTATCCGGAACATGTCCATTAATCATTGTTATGAATTTCAACCCAATACCATGTATCAATTTTGAGAAATCGCAAAAAAACTGAATACGCGTTTTGCTCACTGGAGCGTGAAAGCGTGGTCAGTCATGCATAAAATTTGCATTTTATTGCTAGCTGAGAACTTCTGCACATTTGAGGTGAATTTCAAGTTTGTAGGACCAATTTGAAAAAAAAATAATAATAATAATAAATAATAATAATAATAAATAATAATAATAAAACACAGGAATACAATAGGTTCCCTGCTGACAAGCAGCGGGAAGCCTAACTACGTCATTCATATGTTGTAACAAGTTATTAGTTTGGCATCAACTTCTCTTCATAATTTCAATTTGAACATATAAACATAAATGATAAAATCCCATCAGCGGCTTGGCATATCCTGGTACCTGATTATTCATAGGCCAAACACTAGTATTTTTTGTGTATGATAGTAACATCCTCTGGCAAACTTCGATACGTTGTCATTCACCGAGTCAGTCCAACATGTCCCACGTAACAACAATAACAGTTTCACTATGTTTTGTTACGAAAACAGTTACTCGCTGGTCCATACCCCTGTAGCATCATCACTGTTTGATGAATTTGTTGTTACAGTTGCCTGATTCATTCTCTTTCTAATGCTATGTACAGATGGTTTTGGTGTTTCTTCAAATCCATCACTTTCCATTATGAGAGCTCGTTCCAATATTATTCTTCCCTCTTTGTATCTGAAAATATACATTTCTATTTGTGCAATTTTAAACATCAAAAAGGGAGACAGCTGTCAGAATGTTTGACTACTTCTTTACAACACTGGTCATCATTAATATGAAGCACACTGGTGTGAGACGTATTAAACAAGTATTTTACAAAAGAAGGTGGTCATGTATTGGTAATACTCATCAGATCGGCATTGGAGTATGTATAAGACTACACAGCCATGTTCTATGAAGACTAAGAAATTTTTGATCCAAAAGTTTTTCCAAGAGCAATAGTTATGTGGAATTCTCTACCTCATTCACTACGAACTGACTTGAAATACTTCAACCCTCACATCAATTTGTATTTTCTTACACCACCATTAATTCGATTTAGCTTCCGGCAATGCTATGGAGAGATGAGATCCCTTCACTTCTAATTGTGTGTGACCTTGCCTTTAGCACACTCTCATTACAAAAAGCAATCCTTTACCTCTGTGCTTCTTCTGTTGCATACTCATACATCCATCCCAGCTTAGTCTTACAATTTCTACAGCAAACATCTCGTACCATATGACGACCCGTCAACATGACTCTATCTTGAACTTCACTGTAAGTCAAGTTTACCACCTGTAATTAGAAAATTAGTTACTATTGGTAAAAATTACGGTAATATTGAGACTGAAATCAGCCTTATTGAGACTGAAATCAGCCCGAACCAGAATCTCATCTAAGACCCATATTTGAAATTGAACAAGCGAAGCATCAAATAGTAATTACTGGGATCCTAATTACTTTAATTGTGTACAGATCTTTATTTCGCAACCAGCATTATTAACCAGCATTACCTTGTTGAACAAATATGCTCGTCCAGTAGCTCCAGTAAATCTCATAGATATTAATTCCACACGATTTGTCAATGATGTATCACAGTTTGCACATGCAAACAATCTTGAACCTCCAATATGTTCGAGAAAGATACGACCCATGATTAATTTAATATAACAATTCCACACTAAAAATTGGAGTAACAAATATGTTAATAATAATAAATTGATAGAATTATTTAATCACAAAATTGGTATTCAAAGTTAATTGAACTATAACAGTGGTATTCATTTTCATATCCAAAATAATTTTCAATTGAAGCACACAGTCAGTTGAAAACTTCCCAGAAGAAGGGATTCTTACTGAATTGTATGTTTGTATTATTTTTACTATATTATTCAAGATTCCTGGAATTTGCATATTGGATAGAGGAACTGAGATTAAGATGTCGAAATAATATCATTTTCAGCTGAATGATCGAAAGCATATTGATATATCTTTATTTATAATCCTAGGAGTTTAACCCTTACTACTCATTTAGATGAAAATATAAAGTTGGTATATATATATTCTTCAACCAGATTTTCGGCTGATTCTTTTGATTTTTGTAGATAATTGTTGTGACTGATGACGCAACTTCGCCTGCATATCAGATTTGCAAATTGTTGAAACATCAGCACTAATAACTTCATGATACAATTGTCCAATTTGTTTTTTTATTTCTTTGTACGTCGTAACAGAGATATCATTTTCAGACAATAATTTTTTGCTTTCATCAACTTGTTTACAAACTCTTGTCTGGACATCTTTCAGGCATGATTCTGAGTCCTCAGCTGGCCTTCCTGTTAAACATTTAACAGTTGTTCTATTTAATCCCTGACTTTTGCAAGATAGTATAACAAACTGCCCAATATCTCCAGTTTTTTGAACATGTGTGCCACCACATAATTCAACAGAGTGATTATTTTGAGAACATTTACCAATAGAAATAATTCTAGCTGGATCAGAATATATATTGTCTGTTAGTCTTCGGATGTTACCATCATCAAGAGCATCATTCAGAGCAATGTTACTGGCAACCACATTACCATCTGATAAAATTTGAGTGCGAACTACTTGTAAGATTTTATTGAGTTGAGATCTTGTTGGTGTGGGTCCATTCAAAGTTAATCGAAAGCTATCTTCATCTACTTTCGATCCTTGTTGAATAATATCAGATCCGATAATTTCTCTCCATGCATGGTTAATAATATGAGTTGCAGTGTGAGCCCGCATGCATGCCTGTCTTCTTGCTGGATTTAGCGATAATTTAACCTCATCCCCAACTTTTAGACTCATACATTCTCTAGAAATGTATCCATGATGAAATATGTACCCTCCAGCGTAAGTGACATCCAATATACTGAAGGCTTCTGTGTTATCAACATCCACTGATCCCTTGTCTGCAACTTGTCCACCATCAGTATAATAGAAAGAACTTTTATCAAAAACAAGAGCACAGTGGAGACCAGGTTCGACAGTGTCCAATAATTTGCCTTCGCTTGAAATAACACATAACAATTTTGAAGCTAATGATGGAAAATTATATGACCTAGTATCATTATTTCTTACAGTAATATATTTTGGTTGTGCATCTGTGGCAGGAATATTTTTCGACCTCATATCATTGATAATATTTGATGTAATTTCAATATTTTGTTTCATTTGTTTATTCTCGATTTCTCTTCCTGATTGTTTCAACTCTTCTCGGCCTTCTTGATATCTATTGAATTCATCAATGTCCAAAACAATATCTTTCTCGTTAAGATTATTTATTATTAATTCAATGGGATATCCATAATGATTATACAGTAGAATAGCAGTTTCCATTGGAAAATTTTTTTCCTTACTAATATTCTTTATAGCTTTATTGAATATTTTTTCACCCTTTTTTAGAACATTAATGAAACTATCTTCTTCGTTGCGAATTATTCTTATTACGTCAATTTGACGATCTTTCATGTACAGATAATGTGACGATAAGAAACCTACTACAATTGGAACTAATTCACATAAAAGTCCATCAGGAGCATGTAATATTTGTTTTGATTTGAGGTAAGCTCGACGTAACACTCTCCTCAAGATTAACTCAGCCCCTGCATTCCCGGGATAAACATGATCAGATATTGCAACTACTAGCATACGTATATGGTCACTAACAATCCTGTATGCTTCGTCTATAGGAGTATTTGTACCTTGATATTTTGGACAATTGCAAATTTCTCCAATTTGGTTCAAAATAGGTAGAAATAAATCTGTATCATAATTTGATTTCTTATTCTGCAAAATTGCAGTAATTCGTTCCAATCCCATTCCTGTATCAACATGATTTGTTGGTAAATATACCAGATCTCCATTTGAAATTCTATTGTATTGCATAAATACTAAATTCCATATTTCAACAACGTCTGAATGACCAGCATTTACCAAATCTCGCCCGTTTCCGGCATAATCATAATGAATCTCTGTACAAGGCCCACATGGCCCTTTATCTCCCATTTCCCAGAAATTATCTTTAAATCCAAATGGTAAAATGTTCTTACTGGGTACTCCAAGAGATTTCCACACATCTCTTGTACTCGTATCAGTGTCTAGTCTTTGTAAATCATCCCCTCCAAAATAGGTAAAATACAATCTATCTACGGGTAATTTAAATTGTTCAGTCAACAATTCAAGTGCCATCTCGCAAGCTTTTTCTTTAAAGTAATCTCCAAAAGACCATGAACCCAACATTTCAAAAAATGTGTGATGTGATGTGTCCTTACCAACATCTTGCAAATCATTGTGCTTACCTCCTGCACGTATACATTTTTGACTGTTAACAGCTCGTCGTAATGAAGACATTTTGTCATTTGGATCAATAGTGTCTAATATTTTTGGCTTAAACTGGTTCATTCCGGCATTGACAAAAAGTAATGAGGGATCGCTGAGAAGTTTGACCGATGATGAAGAAATGAACTCATGATTGTGTTGTTTATGAAAAAAATCAATGAACTTTTTTCTGATTTCATGAGATGACATTGAAAATCTTGACGTATAAATTAAATCTTTTGAAGACCTTACTACAAGACATCTTCTCACACAATAGGCACTCATCATCATAGAAGACGAATTTAGTTTTACATTAGAACTCGAAAATTATGGAATGGTATAATTAAGTCATGACTGCATGAAGGAGAACTAGTCACAATAAATATATCATATGTATGTGTTAATAGCAAAGTAGCTCTTATTTCAGTATTTGACATAGTCCAGTAGTCAGTTATCAGGTTACGGTACCAAACAAAAAGTGACTTTAATTTTGTTTTATACTAGAACCAAAATGAATTGGTTGATTGCTTTAGGATAGGATATACTGATATACATATTTATCCCGGGACCCGGGGGAGAGTAACCGACCAGCGGTTATAACCATCACCTCATGGGATTCAAACCTGCGAACCCACGCAGAGTAATTAGAGGTGCGGTGGGAGCGTATTCCTAATGCTTAGCACGATGAGCCCCACCGCTGCGCCCGCGTTTATTAAGTAAAGTGCAGTAATTAAGATAGATTTGAAAGATATACGGTACTGGATATCAGATCGGTTTACAGCTTTCGCCCTTTCAGTTTTCTCGGGAGTCGTTTAAAAATAATTTTAAAGATTTATTTATGAATATTTATTTACCGCAGTAGCAACATAGCCTATACCCATACCTGCGGTTCAGGTACAATCCTAGCCCTGTAACCCTAACTAGGCTTTACACAAATGTAGAGAACAAAACAGCAATAACGAATCAGACAATGGCGAATGTTTTTGTTTTCATGCTGAATCAGCTGTCGATCACGTGATAATTTGATCCATCGTCATTTTCATTATTTCCTTGATAATAAAAAGAACCCTATCGTCAACTTTATGGTTATCGCCATTGCCAACTATATGGTTATTTCAAGCGTAGGGATCAGAATTTCGATTCCGACTCCCAGGAGTTCGAAAATCCGCATAAAATGAAAAATGCCAAACTACGCAATGCAAGTCTGTCCGCCAAGCGAATAAAGATAACAGGAAACAACAAATGGCGGAATAGCAGAGAATGCTTTTTATTGATAATGGGAGCCACCCTGTACGTTCTTAACCTTGACAAAATTCAAAAAGCGCAACGAAAGGTTTCGTATGTTTGCGCTGATAAATTTGGGCAATCGTGGGTCATCACACGCTGCATGTTTTCTGGCCATAGCCAGTAGTGTCTGTAATCAATGACATTTAACAACATGATGCGCAACTCCGGCATTTTTGTCCGAAGATCGTATTCGATAGCACGCTCCAATGCACATACTTGACGAGACGAAAACGAGCGGATGTGTGCTGCTTTCAAGGCGTAGCACAAATGGTGTTCGTGCCTGCTTTGACAGTTGTTGTCGATTTTAATGATATTTTGGAAAATTGAAGGTAAAAAGAAATCGGAAAAAGGTAAGGTAAATACTATTGTTGTATATCACACCCGGACATAGCACTGTTAAGTACATGTGGGAAAGCCAGCTTTTGTCAAATACTACGAAGTTATCAAATCAATACGGTACGTAGTTGCCCATTTGCCGAAATTGCATATTTACTTACCCTTTATGGTTTCAAATAGTTCATGCACCTCCATTTAGATTTTTCTAATCAGTGTAGAAATATATACTCATTGCTGTAGCATACTATTGCTCATTCACTTTTATTTGCGTATTGAATCAAAGGGTTAACAAGTTCACCTAACATTTTACTCATACCGGTCTATATTGTATAGTATGATCTCTCAAGTATTTGGAGCCACGAATGCTTGTAATTTTCTGACTAAACCCTTTTATTAGTTGATTTATATACCAAATTCAGTAAAACATTTTTTACATTAAACATGAGATATTGGATTTATTAGCTTTTCCATTCTAAGTCATATTGACTGCTTTATTTATTCTTAACGAAAATTAATAAATCTCCTCTCTTTCTTCAGATGTGAAAGTTGTGGACAAACCTGTCTAAGCATTGTGAGACTGCTGCAGCACAAGAGGCAATAGCAAAAATAGTAAGTATATCAATCAAAAAATTAAGCTGACATAAAGCAAAACTTTCAACTATTCGTCTAATCTCAATTTCCTATTATTTATTCACAGGACAACTGTAGCAGAAGGGGAGATATCAGAAGTCTGGCGACATATCAGTGACAGTGTGATTCCAAGAAATATAATTAGAATACTCCATAAATGTTTGCAATAGAAGAACAACCTATGAAGGCATGCAAAAGCATTTGACCCTCCGGTAGAGTTGTGTATGGCCCCTACATCCTGCAAGGCTTGAGGAAAATACCTAAAAATTCCAATGCGTAAGATTGCATAAGCGGTCTTCTTTGTGCAAAAGCACAAAACATGCCAGGAATACTTAAAACAGCTTTGAAAAATGAGGATTACGGGTCACTACACCTATGTTATATTTGGTTCATCAATTTTTGGTAGTACTATAGAAAAAATTCAGGAAAGGGTATAATCATGATTCATGATAAAATACTGGTATATATTTTGGACAACTTCAATCTAGACCAAACTCGCGGCCCCAGAGAACTTCCAGTGCGGCCTCGAAAGCTTAACAATAATTGTAAAAGTATTTTGGAAGTTTTTTTTATCTAAATGTAACAGATTTTTCAAACTTTTTAAAGTGAAATTGAATATTCACACAGAAAACAATTTACTAAAAGTAGTTTTAAAAAATTAATTTTTTTTGTTCACATTTTGACCCATTTAAGAATACACATCAAGCTAGCAAAAGAATACTTGAATAAAACACTTGAGTTATTAAATTGAACGCAAAGTACATGAAGAAGGTGGCATTTTCGAATAAAATGGGAGTTGCAATATTTCTGCATTTCACAAAATTCTCTGAAGCACATTGTTTAATTTGTCATATTTCCATCAGTACAATGAAAAACACAATAAGCTCAGCAGTCAATATGACAAATTCGAAGACCAACTTCGAACAGAAAATTTCCATGTGTTTGTATATTATTATAATTATACAACTTTTTTGTTACTAAATATCAATAATAATTCAAGCAATCCTATGCCATGCAATGTGGCGCGAAATGTCTTGTCGAAAAAACCTGTCATTTGTTTTTTTACTGATCTATACATGAAATGATGAAAGTAACTTTTTTGCATTACTGGAATTAATTAAACATTTGCAAAGATCCAGATTAACCCATGATCATGTGACCTCGTTAGTTAGAGTTGGTACTATAAAATTATTTCATCCTGGCTTTAGTATGCTGGTGACACAAAAAAGATGCCAAACGTCAGGACAAATGTAATTAAAAAACATTGAGTTTATATTGTAGTATTTTTGTTAATTTTAGGTCCGTATATTTAGATTAAGTCATTTTTTTAGTGTATGTATTATTCTTTCCTTATCCAAAGCTTGTTCAAAAATGATTTTGATGGTTGTACATAGAATTTTATGATTTTTTGTAATAAATACAGTAACTTGCAATAATAGTGGAATGCAAATATTAACATGAAATTGCATTTGAAATTAAAGAAAATAATAAAACTTAATCCAACTGTTTAGTTGCATCCTAATATATGTCACAAACTAAAACTATCTTGAAAATATCTTTCAAGTATACATTATCAAAAACTGTTTGCGGCACTTTTTACAATTTCCAACATGCAATGCGGCTCTCGAAAACCCATGAGTTTGACACCACTGATCTATTCTAGACAATTCAAGCATTGCTTTGGGAAATAATATCACTTCAAATAAATTGAAAAAAATCTTGCCGTATTAAATACGAAATCGTTGCTATCATAAAGATAAACCAATTCAGCCACTGGGAATATATTGGCCTTCACAAAGCAATGGAGGCAAAATTAAGAGTTCATGAGCTATGAACTTTTGTTCTTTTCTTTGTCTTAAACTTTTCATACTCCACAGCCCCTATTAATTTTTTTTTTTAATTTTAATTACCATGTGATGGTAATACATATCTTTAACTTGTATTTTCTGTAATGATGTATTATCTCAATGTGTCAAACTTTTAATTAGTGTGCATATTTTGCTTCCAGATGACATAAATGTATTGTCCTGTTTATTACCTCAGCTTGGAGTATTGACAAGAAAAAGGCGCCAGTAAATTCTTTGTTATAATCAGAATTCACAATTAATAGGAATTATAAACAGCCACCAATCAATGAGAATTACATGCGAAATCCCTCACAATAAATTTGTCTAATAATGTCTAATAAATTCACCTACTAAAGCAAGTTCGATAGGTGCAAACTTTGTGTTATGGAATTGTATCACAGCACCGTTAAGAGAAGTAAAAACAGTTTTGCTGTTTTGTACGACACCCTCTTTAAATGAAATTTCAATGTTTAAGCGTAAACATTAAAATTACTAACTTTGAACTTTGTCATTATCTGCAAAATGTCCCACACAAATCTTTACTCTATCGCGTTTGTAATCTTCTCTGATAAAAAAAAAAGTCTATGATGTCCAGAATTACTCTTTACAGCTTGTATGTCATTCCAGCTTTCAAAGTGAGCAAAACTTCTTAGATATAGAGATTATTTTCTTTCGTTACAGACGCAAAAAGGCAGGTACTAAACGTAAAGAGGACGCCGATTAGCAAAAGCAAGCGGAAAACGGTCGCGAAAGGCGACGAGAAATATGTGCATTGGAGCGTATCATGAAATACAATCTTTCGCATGTAGTCTTATGGAGTGACGTCAGAGTTGCCTATCATGTTGTTTAATGTCATTGCTGTAATGTACCACCGAACTTCTTCTCCAACAAAGAGAAAGTTATTGGTATATTTAGATTAGCAGCTAGATATTCACCATGATGCTCTGAATCCACCTGCATGTTCTATCAGTTGTAAGCAAAATTCATTAGTTGATAATAAACCAATTACCACCCTGTCATTTACCGAAACCTAATTTTCCTCATTTTGCTATCATTTATATATTGTATGTGTTTTCTGGTTTGACGAAACAATAAAAAAAATTCTCTCTCTCAATTTGTGTCGGAAGTAATCAAGAGATGCGCCCTAGTTTGAAGTCTTTTAATTAGAAAATGATTAGAAAACAGAATTAAACGTTCAATCTCTATTCGAGGATACGCAGACGACATCAGACAACGCGAAGAAGCGGGTGTATAAGTTATTTATGCTTGTCAAAGATCGTTAGATTTATTCAGTTTGGGTTAGACTAGTGCGTTTTCTCGCCAGCTGATGTGGTAGTACGGTATATTTCAAATGATCAGTTGTTTCGAATGTGTTGTTGCCAGCAACCTTTAAAAATTCGTAATTTTTCTCATATACTGTCCGTTGTTTATAAAGCAGTGCCGTCTTACAGTTCATCAGTAGCGAGCTCTTGTTTTGCTTGAAATAGTAAGGATCATGAAGATATTGATATTGTACATCACTCTTTGTACTGCTTTGTCGAGCGTGAATGCACTGACTCCTCAAATATTAATGTCTATTAATGAAGGCGTAAATCGCCGTCAACATGTCCCAGTGAACCCCGACGAAAACCTTATCACGGCAGTCTGTAAGACGAACCTGGAAATGGTTGAGACAAACGCTACAACGACTGTATTATCTGGTTAGTATACTTTATAATGATAAATTAATTGATAATCCTAACAGTAAAAACGGTCGTTACGCGGGCCATCAGGATGATACAAAACAGCAGACTTTAAACAGTTCTGCCGCCTATCGCCATAACATCTGCGCTTCTATTATATATGTGTAATGTTTAAGATATTTTTGTAATCTTCGTAAGATTCCACCTGATCCATACCATGTCGTCCTACAAGTTTTCTGGGCTAGTTCGACGTATTTACCAACCGACTGGGAACTTCAGGTATACTTCTTGTTCCAAAACTCATGATGTGAAAATTTTGAGTGAGTGTGATCAATGTTAAATGTATTGGTTCACGAAGGAAAGCAAAGTAAGCATAATAACAATCATAACTAGCGCACATTAGATCGCCTGTAAACTTTGTGTGTAAAGTGTAAATATTTTGCAGCTGACACCTCACCCACAAACTCCATTGTAGATATCTATCGAAAATGCAAGGTATCGGGCACAAGATATTGTCGACTACGATTGCTACAGCCGGAGAGACGATATCTAATCTCTCGTGAGATAGATTGGACAAAAAATTATAGCGTTATTGCGACAAAATATCAGAGCATTCCTGTGGATTGCCACGAAAATGATGTTTCGAATTATGCAAAGATTATATTTCAAGGTTATTATATATGATACTAGTTTGAGACAGCCTGTATATATATATTTGTATAATTAGCACATACTAACTATTGTAAATGCGATTAAAATCACAATAACCTGCGAACATAATTATATTTGTTACACTAATTGGATGTTTTTATGCTAACCTATGACATAATTCATCCACGCATCAAGCTATGCTGGAATACATATGGCACAAATTCACTCAGATGCCGGACAATGAACTGGGAGGTACTAAATATGCCGTATAGTCTACTCTCTCTCGCTCACACTTCAATATATACATTATATTTTATAAATTATCTTTAGATCATTTTGAAACAAACTCTACGAAACATGTCTCCCTTTACTCCATCTCACAATGTGAAGAAGACGAAGAGCATGGTTATGGGTTTTACGTGACTATGTGAGTCGGTATAATGATAACCGTTTTCATTTAATTTAGACATTCTCTATTGGCATTGTTATTGGCGTGCTTTGTTCTTGTGCTTATTAAAAAATAACAGTCGAGTAAGCAAATATGTACCATGCAAAAACATAACCTAATGTATATATAGTTTAATACTATCCAAAAACTTAAAAAATAAATGACAATTAAATACGGAAATATTGTAAATAGTTTACCTAATAATCTTGTCATACATATTGTTCTATAATCATTAATCTATAAGGACAACATATTCAAAAAGTTTTATGCACTGAATTCATTACAGTATTACTCACAAAATAATTAATGTTCAGCGTTACCACTTACTTTATATTCGAAAATGTACAATTTAACAGTTTACTGTAAAATCTCCACTGTATGGTCGGCGATTCAATCAAACCTTGCATTCTTCCGTGGGCAGTTCAAATTCTGATTTATGTATTTAAACAGGTGCATATTCGGATTCTTAACGATTCTCGTTGTTATTGGCACTCTCCTGGATTTATGTACTGGATTCCATCAAAACAAAACGCAATACATAGAAGGAAAACGGAAGAAACAAACATCGGTTCCAGGTTGGAGATCCCTGTTCGCCAATCGGGGGACAAAGTTGGAAGATTCAGCAAAGCAAAGCGTTCCACGCATCATAATTTCGGACCCCGCAAAAACAGCAGTAAGTATCTAAATATGTATCTAATCTAATCATGGCAAAATCCTGCATTTTAATAGAGCGATGATCTTTATTGCATTTTAAAATGGTTTTTAAAAATTTGTGACAAATTTACAACCAATCGTTCACAAGATATACCAAAATAAGGGAAGGTTGGGTAAAAAAAAATTTACGTTTCGAAAATGATATCCCCACCCAGAAAATATTGTATCTGATTCTTCAACTAGGCTTTCATGTCACTGATAAAAGTTTAAATGGATATAATGTATATATATATATATATATATATATATATATATATATATATATATTATATAGATAAGCTACTGAGTTACCAGTCCACCACAAGTCTAATTGAAGTTAAACTGTAATCTTTGTTTTTGTATCAGCTCAGTCTTTCAATAAATGTAGTTTTTCACAGTAGTGTGTTACTTTTTGGCTGTCATTCAACAACAAATTTTCAGAATGTAGTTCGACGTGATTCGTTAGATTCGATTCTTTCAACTGATTGTGGTGGGCCACAAATAGCACCTATCAATATGCCTTCTCTCAGTTCCATTCGTAGCGAGAACTCGATTTCCCGTGGAAGTGCAAAAATTTCAGTTCATCGGTCACCATCTCCACGACATAATTTACTCAGGGCATCAAGTTTAGCAAATACAGGTAAATTTTATCACAACTTTTCAAATATTAGCAAACATCTGGATCATATTATTGGGCGTGGACCTATACATCGTTTCATAAAATTGTTCTTCTGTTCTCATTGTGGTTATTTGTTTGAGAAAATTGCTTCTCCATACAACCATCGGACTCGGCTAATCAATTTCAGCGCCTAAAAGTGGAATAAGTCACTAAAAGTCCATTACTCCTATTATTTATCTAATTTTCTCCAAGTCTCTTGTTTGGTTTTGCAACGATGCGCTGTCCCCATTTCTGATTCATTTTGTGTAGCGGTTTGCTTCAGTAATGTTAAAACCCAATATTATCATACATTTATTCCATGCAATTTTTTATTGTATGATGTATGATATTGTGAACGGTAATTTAGTGTCATGTTTTGCGTTAAATAATGAAAAAAAAACAGTGTTTATTCTACATTTAGGTACTTCTGTTAAGTCTCAATCATTCACTGACATATCTGGAGTTTCAGCCAGTTTTGGATCCGTTCACGAAACTCTTAATTTTTCAAATCCTTCCGTATTTGTGTCGCCGCTAGAACAGATGTCTCAATCTGACCAAGATATCGGGAGCACGTCCGGAGATTCAATACAAATTTCAGAAAATAGCTTCACTAAGAAGGGGTATTTAAATTTCATGATAAGGATGCAACGAAATTTGCAAACCATGTAAATATTTTAAACGAATTTTGCATTTCACAAAATCGCTTTATAAGCGAATCGAGATTTTTGATTTTGAATGTGACAACTAGGGAAGCAAACAAAGGAGGTGAAAAATTTAAATTTTTTATATTTTTGCGAGCAAATATTTTCTAATCTATCTTTTGTATTACGCCATTTCATACACGCAAGATACATCTCATTTTGTTTAGCTATGCTTCTTCTGTGGAGCCAACGAAGAACACAAATTTATTCCTTGACGCTGTGATGAAGTCGTCTGCGTCGCAAGGTATCAGAGGTCATGAATATGATGATTCATCGATGTTCATATGTTCAATACAGACAATTGCAGTGTGGTGGTATCTTCTTTATCTTACGGCCATATTCTTCGGGACCTCAGAATTATTAGGTGCGAGTGTTAGCCTTAGCATAACTCGATTTTTAGGCTCATACGTTTTTGCATTTTTTCACTCATTTTGATAATGACGTTGTTGCCTTTTAGTTTAGTCTTGCTAATTATTATAAATATATTTTATATGGAAATATGGTGTTTCTGATAACTACTATTCTACTCTTTTTTTTTATAGATAACCCTGATGACTTCAAAAATCGCATCCTAGACACAGGTTTTCAATTTGTTATGAACGGCAGTATGCATATATACACTGTTTTATTCACAAGGTAAGCTTGAAACGAGTTTATATGAATAAGGAACCACACTTGCATCACAAACTAGTGGTTGGAGCAGCGTTTCCCAACCTTTTTTGGTCGCGGACTATTTTGTCACCGGCGAAAACCTTTGCGGACTCAAGGTGCGTTTATTGTAACGGTACTCTGTACAAGAGTAGCAATAAAACCAAACACAATAGAAATTTTGAAAATTTGCTGCATTTACGCGTTCGTTAAAAGAGCCGACTATTTTGGTGTATAATGGACTTTTCTGTCGTACAATATTCAATCCATGACAACGACGAGAATTTAAAATGTCTTTCTATTTTAATTCAATTGTGTTCATGGTACCTCGCGGTTGCGTCGACTTACGACTAGATGAAAGAATTACTTCTTCAAAGTTCCACGGCCATCTGCGAACATAATAATGAGAGAATATATTGTCCGAATATTACTCATCGATCTCGATAAGTATGTTGATAGGTCTGTTTGTCTGTTAGATGCACGCGGTATCTCACAAAAGCGAGGTTGAATCTGCTCCAAATTTTGCATGTGCATTCATCATTTGATTTTGGATGAATTATGTCGTCAAATTAGCGAGTCATTAATTAATTAGTGATGGGACACACGGTGTCGCTATGAAGTAAGAGCGGATGAATCGAAACCGCAGTTTCTGTTTTGGGGGATCCAAAACTTTCGATCGATAAGTCTTCGTCTCTGACCGATATTCTCGAATTCAGCTTTGATACATATTTTTTGCGATCTTGCGAATTTGTTATCACCGTTGGAAAAAATCCTACTATAGCTGCTTTAAATTTCCAGAATGTACAACTTAATTTAGTACTTATTCAAAATATATTCAAGTATATTAGTAAATCAAAAATACATATTCATCGCCTTGAAATTCTCGCAAACAACTTCTGAAGTAATCGTCGCATATACGTCACTCGTCAACTTCAATGAATTTTTCTGTTGCATAAAATATTCAATCCATCCATATGTGCGATCCTTTTAATCTGCGGTTGTGTTGACGAAGAAAGTACCATGACAATGCGTGGTAAAGTGCCCGATTATATTTTGTTTAGATTAGTTTTTTTGTGAATTCGACAAATCTGAGCTGTTCGTACAACACTTACGGCGCTCCATTACTACTGTACGTACCAATGTAGAAGCAGTAAAGCAAAGAATCCAAAAAGAAATGCCCTGGTACGTATACTACGGTAGCAACCGAAATTTTGCGATTTGCAATGTCTAAAAAAGCGTTTTTAATCGGTCGCGGTCGCCATTTACACCTACCAAAAAAAAAAATATTCTTCGTTTTTCGAACTCGCGAAAAACATACACTCAGTATTACATATTATCTATCGAAGCGTGTACAGACTCGGAAATCCGCAAGTGAGTTGTGAAATCCAATCGTTCGATTAAGCGACTCGCAAGTGACCTGTCGCGTCACGTGTTACCAACCACGTAAATTGCTATTCTAATAGTTGAATATTCGAATATATGCCCAGCCCTACTCAGTAACTAGTAATTATTGACTAGATTAATGTCATGTAAATAAACTGGCTTTTTATGTTTTATGTAAATTCTAACGTAAATCGTAACTTGGCTGATGGTTAAGTTTCATAAAAACGTTTGTGGCCCGCAGTGAATTTCTGGCTCGTTGCGGACTCATTCAAACGCTCTGCGGACTCATTTGAGACCGCGGACTCGGGTTGGGAAACACTGGGTTGGAGTATTACTTGGCTTTGACCGTAGTTAATTGTTACTCAGAATTCTAGAGTCCATTGTCGGGCGTAACGCTCAATGATGATATGATACCAAACATTTTCACAAAATGTAGTATAATCTGCTCTATAAATTTAGTTTAAAATATACAAAGATATAATGACTATACACCATCTAGTGCGATGTTGCTCGGATATTCTGCAATTCAGAGATTGAAAAACACGAAAACTTTGACAGAAGGAATGGTGAATGCATTGGCAATGATTTGTACAAAATATTGTGAACAATTTCCATTCTATATCCTTGTTATCCTCTTGTGGACATACGTCATCCCAGGTATAGCTTCAGGTGAGTATTTTTATGGGCAAATCTTATTTATATTTTGTCGTTTATTTACATTTGAATAGAACAGAACGAGTGATATTATACAAGAATGTAATACAGTAATTTGTGAAAGTTTGCCATATTTTGTCATTCTAATTTATTTTGTGAAAGTAATAGGATGGACATAACTGTTTACAGCATGTTACTCAAATTTGAGACTAGGCAATAAATGCACAGGCAGAATAAAAAATTTAAATTGTAATATGACGATGCCTTGGTCTGGGTAAGATAGAAGAACTCATTCTATTGCCATTTTCAGTTAAGATAAATATTTGCACCAATGCAGTAAATGTTGACGAATTGAGTTGAAATTGTGGGAATAATGTCTTGACGAATTTGTTGTGATTTTGTTTCAGGACCAATGTGGAATTTGCTTGGTGATGGCAGTTGTATTGCTTTTTGGTGGACAAATGTAATTTATATTAACAATTTTTATCCGGAAAAGTCTGTACTACAGGTAACTAACTACAGAACAATATAAAAAATGCAAGCCTGTAGTGGAAGAAAAATATGTTGTGTTTTTTAGTGTATGCCTTGGACCTGGTTTATAGCTTCAGAAATGCAAATGTTCATATTCGGTTCGATATTGGTGTTGCTATTCTGCAAGTGTAAACGTTTGGCAGTTTTCATAACATTTGTGTCCGTTGTACTGGTAAACTCAATATGCGCATATATTGCCTACAAACGTAGTTTGGACCTTACGCCGTTAGCCGAACTACATAAAGAATTGAGGTGAGTACTGTTTAATTGGAAAAATTTGTTGAGATTAATAGATTAAAATATCGAATTTTACTTACGCAAAAATTGATTGGCCATGCACCCTGTCGAATGGGTCATGTCACAGCTGAGTAATTTCGACAAGCGTTGGGCATGAAAACTTTTAATTTAAATTTTGTTAGAATTTGATGAGGCAATACGAATAATAATCAAATTTTGGTTCTAATTTGTACACTTCAAATTGTTGTGGACTGTGGAGTAAAAGTGCAGAAGTTTTGTGTTTTAAAAATATTTGTTCAAGAAACACCTCGATGGAATCACACGGCGGCTGGAAAAACGAAGTCTTTGATTCACTTTTCAACAAACCATATTTCTATTGGAGTTTGTATGCGGTGGGAATAATAATAGGAGCAACAATCAGACACAGAACAACTTTTCGCAAAATGACATTGGTAAGATTTTTTTTAAATGGCGTTTTTGCATGATCACTCGCAACAAGGAAATTTATAAGCCACTGATAATTTGTGATAAATGAAGATTTTGGCAGAGCTCAAATTTTTCAGTTCGGCATTGTTATAATTCGTTACAACTATGGGTTATGGTCGCGTGTGTGTGGCTAGATCCAACATACCATAAAGTGAAAAAATTTTGATCTAAATTATTGTTCAAATAATGTTTCAGTTTTATATGAATATATTCATGAAATAATTGTTAAATCCTCTTTTAGATTTGTACCTTACTCTTGTATATTGTATCCATTCCATGCCACTTTGCAACTATGCATTACGTTGTTGTTATAAAGAAAAATTTGACGGAAAAATGGAATCCTTTATTTATAAATCTTGTTCCCAAAATTTGGATTCTTTTTCTGGTTCCGACTTTGATATACTTCCGATATTCAAGAATAAAAGGTTAGTACAATTGCAAAAGTTTAAAATGTCGTTTTGTTAAAGGAAACAAATATATGTATATACGTTTGCGATGCTTATGGAATATTAGGTTTCACCATAAATTATATCGAATTATTGTTTCCATCATGTTCCTGCCGTATCTCTTCGGTTTAGCAGGCATTAAAAGTAATAATTTTCACAAATAAAACAATTATACATTAAGCAATTTGAGGCAATGTAAAATTACACAACCATTATTGCTAATTTCCTACCGAATTAGGCTATACACAAGTATCCGTGAAGATAAATTTGATTCGATTAGGGATTCTCAGTTTAGATCAACTTTATATTTCTACAATTTTTAATCATGTAGTAAACCCGCATTATCTTTAAACAGGTCCGATCAATAAACTACTTTGCTCATCCTGTTGGGGTAATTTAAGTCAACTGAATATCCCCGTACTTGTTGTCAATCCAATAATTCTCCATATGCTATTCTTCTCAGCTGATTTTGCTATACATTTCAATTTAATGAATCTCGTAAGTATACACATTTATATGCAGAATCAAGGTTATGGCAACTAAGATTATGTATATTTATTCGAAGTTTTTTGATTGTTTACAGTTTGAGTTTCAACAAGTTCGGCTTCTGACAAGTTTTAGCACCGATGCAAAAAATTTTTCGTTTGTAGCTACTTAGCTCGAATTTCAACTACGACTTGTTTTAAAATAACTAAGCTAGATAATGTAGAAGAATATATTGCAAGAAACTGTCGATAACTATATCGAATATTTTTATTTTTACAGATTGTCTACTTTCTCGCAACCCTAGCACTGACCTATCTATTAGTCGCTGTGTTGCTAATATTCGGCCATTATCCCCTGTATTTTATACTGAGACTTGCCTACTTATATGTCATGCCACAGTCTACGGATAAACACGCAGAAACTACAAGCAAAGAAGATGAGTCTTTTCTTATTAATGTAAATGACAGAGGAAAGAATAGGAAAAGAAAAAAGTCGCGACAAAGACTTGGTCCCAGATCTTTACTTGATTTTAAACGCTCGTCTTTCTCTTCTCGTTCGTACCAACGATCTTTCGAATCGCTGTTTACTCATGTTGTTCGTGCGTGATTCTCTTATTAATGTATTAGCAGGCTTGTCCATGGGGAATATTTTTCTGTCCCATCCCATAGCAATTATGCCTGTCCCATCCCATTCCATGGGATTCCCAGTGGAATGAAATTCAATAAAAAATGGTAAATTTAGGTTAAACGTCTACTAAATGGGACTACATGTACAAAGGGACACGCAACACAACAAAATTTACCGACTTTGTATTCGTAACTTTTATGCATGTTTCCATCAGCCCCTTCACGAAGTATATGTTAAGGTTGAATATATTTTGCTCTGTATAACCAACAAGAGGGCTATGCTCAAATATATGGACACGAAGTTATTACGAAAAGTTTTACCATCATTTCCGTGAAAATCGTACGGTTTCCGTGTCCCATGGGAAATACAAATGTGTCTCATCCCATGGGACGTTTCCCATGGACAAGCCTTATGTTCAGTGGTACGAGTTTCAAGTCTCAGGTCCCCCAATTGTGAAATATTAAATTCATTCAGAGAAGTATTTACTTTATGTATATATATAAATGATAATTTGTGCATCAACATTTGTTTTGAGAACTTGCCGACAGACAATACTGGAATTATATTTTCACTACGTCGTAGCAGAAGTGGGGTATTTTATGCAATATTGAATATGCCCGACGGGCCGCTACGAGAAGGCTTTTGTTCTCGTTAGCTTGTAGATGCTATAGCTTGTTAACGGCGATTCATAAATGCCAATCAAAACGTTAGAATAAGCTACATCGCGAGAACTTATAGTTTGTCGCGAAAAAAATATATATATATAATATATATAGAAATCCATGCCTTACTGACATGTTAAATTTTTGAGAAGTTAAAAAATAATATCCCGCCTTTTGATTGAGATGCATGGAATTGGATGTTGGTGAAAAACGGTCCGAGATTCCGTGAACTATCCCGCACAATGTCTTGATACCCGTGGATGACAAGCCTGCGAAGCCACGTGGGATAATCGATGATACGGTTGCGAGCAGTGTTCTAACAATAAGCACGATGCGCCAACTATCATTTAGGTGCACAATTATGTCATTCTTATGCTTGTTTTGAAGGTTGCGATAATTTGGTGGCTTCAAGAGAATGACGATGGTGGTGAATGGTTAAAATTACTGTAAAACCACGTGTGATCAAGAACTGTCCTTTCTTGGTAATCGGGCTTATTCTATGTAACAGAAATTGTCTTAGTTGAAAAGTCTTAGCTCGAATAACCAGTCGGTGGTCTCCTGTCGGCGAATGTCCGCAATATTTGTATTTCTATTATGCATATACAATTCCCAAAATGAGACTAACAAAATAAAAAAATTGTCATATCTGCCAGGTAGCTGGCGTAATTTTTAAATTAGTCAGCTTTGGTGAAATCCGACGTTTTTAAGGTTTCAAATTGTTGACAACTACAACATTCTCAACATCCACAAATACTTGATTCGAATCCGGCATCTGCATCATGTCGACTCTCCTGTGAACTAACATTGTTGCATATCAAATATTTAATCATTACATCGCTTAACAATAATGATAGTCAAAGTAGTACAACACCAAGTTTTGCTTTGATATCCAAATAATAGCTTATCGATATAGAGTTTTCAAATGTTTGCTTATAAATACTCTTCAAGCTAGAGTTTACTCGGATTTACATTTTTTTAATTACTGAGTTCGAAGGAATGAAGTAGACTATTTCCCAGTTGGAATTTACTACATTTCATAACAATCAGAAATTCTGTACTCATTTGAATTAGGTACACTGAGGCGTTCCAAGAATATTTACTCATTCCGTTTTATATAAATATTGGTCATTGTAAAAATCGATATTCCTATAAAAAAATAATCCAGAACATTCCATCATATGTATATATTTTACTTCTCTGGAGCTGGAGGTATCAGAATCAATATTAATTGTTTGAATAGCGCTTATTACAGACTAAAAACAAGATATTTCCTTGAAAAGAAGAAACAATGCTGGCAGGAAACCAATGTTAAAACAATACCTCATTGTGTTTAAGATACATCAGATAACTCATAAAACCGAATATTTTTTCAGTTTTTGATGTAATCGAATAACCGCTCATAGACCATATCATCCATAAAGCATAATTGTACCCAGGTTATCAGGTACAAGTTTATAGCCAAATGGATACTTACTATTATGGCGACGAGTGAAAAACTCCGGTAGCCTGACTTTTGGAAGATCTGAAATTCATTGTATATATATATGTTTCAAGTTAGGTTTAACATGAGACAACGTTAGAAAAGTATTGGAAATAAATGTTGCAATTTTAGTATCTTAAAGAAATGAATTAAACTGTTTCATACTAGTATTAATGTATGGTAGTGAAAGATATCAAAACTATTTCACAAATACAAAGTTCGACGTTTCAAGATAATTTACTTGAAACGGTAATCTTGGAATTGTCATTATTGATTTCATATGATCAATATTTAGGCGCAAGTATGTTTATTAAATCACTGCCCCATTCAAAATATTCTTATTATACTCATTTATTTACCTGTGTTGGGCCGATGGTCATTGTAGACTACAGCAGTCGAGGAACCGTACACTGAATTAGTTGCTTTTATTCCCCCACGGAAAACCAACTCTGCCTTAACAAAAATGCGGCATTTATATTTAGGCCTACTATTAAATATTTCCTAAAGTGGTTCACTATTACAAATTTACTTGATATTTGTTCTAAAGTATCACAAACAATATCTAAATTTCAAAAATCTCACCGGAGGTACGTCTGTAACCCGAAGTATCTGAAAAATTATGAAAATAACCAGTTTACTGTAGGGAAACAGGAATTGTTCGACATTATGAGTGACTCGAGTATTTCACTGGGACAAGTAAAATAGGCTTGCTAACGTTTCAGGTAATGATAAGAGGAGACCTATGGGAAAATATCATTATAATCCTTTCGAGGTATAGGCCTACTGTTTGTTTTACATATATATATATATATATATATGAACATACCGCTTGCGCTATTGTCAATCGTAACTTTTTCCATAGCTGTCGCAAGTTGCACAGCCATATGAAAAGTCAGATTTCCTTGGTTTGAGTCCACCAAATGATTAGAGATGGATTTCGACTTCAATCCAAGTATAAATTGTCGTAAAATGTCACTTTCGTCAATAAACGTACATGAGCCTGCCAGCATCTGCAACTCCAATTGCAATTGGCCACAATTAATAGGAACATACCTGAATTATGGTTGTCAGCACTCATTGTAGGCTACTAATATTATAGTATAGAGAAGTGTTGCTTTGCTATGCTTCCACCACGTAGACTGGTTTATGAATAACAAAATATTCACACCATAACAACCGCGATGTTTGCCTGGAACGTTCTCTTAAAGAACTGACATCTGTTCGCAAGACGTTGGGAAATACATAAAAAATCCCATATTTATTTTATATATATATATGTTTGCTTAGCATTTTGAAAAATCAATTTATTCCGGAGCAAATTGGGTGATTCAAATTATATACAGTAGAGATGTACCGATGTATCGGTATCGGCAATATCGGCCATTTTTGGTATCGGTCATGTATCGGTATCGTCGAAAATATTACCGATATTTCCGATTTAAAATTTTACTTTTTGATTTATTTTTTGTCCGGAGAGATCGTGAACTATGGGCCATGCATGTCCCCACCCCCGCGAGTAGTAACGGGAATAGGATTCACCTGTTTTAAAATATTTACTAGCCAAACTAGCTCAACTAATTTGGCTATTATGGCTGCCAGAGTTTTATATTGACATTTTAATACTACATACTATACATAGTGATTATGAAGAATATATCAACACAGCCCAGAAAAATGAGCAATTAGGCGCCCAGTTTTAAATTATACAGTGGAATAGGAATTATTTTTTACAGCACATGCACTTTTTTGGCATGCTATGAATTCTGACTATTTATCGTCAAGCGCGAGTGTCATTTAGTCTGTCGAAGTCGTTAAACTAAATCCAGCACGATTATTCCTCTACGCAGGTAATAAATATTATGGTTTCAGTAATTTTAATTTTGTTTAAAACACGATTTCCTCATAGATTTATTGGCGTGGCAGCCTAAAATGTCTCAAAATATACGATGGTAATTGTGAAATATTATAAAACAGTAAAATAAAAAACATTCTCGACGTTTTGTAGGTACTTCTAGTCGGTGCTGATTGATATCCAGGCTTGTTCATGGGACATATTTTTCTGTCCCATTCCCATCCCATGGCAATTATGCCTGTCCCATCCCATCCCATGGGATTCCCATTGGAATAAAATTAAATGAAAATTGTTAAATTTAGGTTTAGCGTCTACTAAATAGGACTAAATGTACGAAGAGACATGCAAAACAGCAAAATTTACGGACTCTTCATAACTAACAAGAGAGCTATGCTCATATATAAGGACACGAAATCCATAACGAAATGTTTTACCATCATTTCCCCGAAAATTATACAGTTTTCGTGTCCCATGGGGAATAAAAAAAGTGTGCTGTTTCATCCCATGGACAAGCCTGATGATATCCTTTTATTTTGATTGTAATATATTGCCACGGCGATTACGATTAAAGAGCAAAATATTTTAAAAATACTTTAAATTAAAACGTAGGGCGGCGGCGCTAGAATGCGTGGGTGATATTCGTTATTCTTTTAAACACGAAAAACGATATTCGAAGGTCGCGATATTAATACTAAATTGGAATTGCATATCCCGGCCTATAAGTTTTCTAATTCAACACCGAGATTACTAACGTCGGTGCACAAAGCATCTGAATCAATTAATGCATGTGGATACCAATCATCAATTTCATATTATGTGATATATATATATATTTCTTTTTCAATCTAAAATAATGTGTGCTATGAATAACGATCAAAGACCATTGTTTTAACCCGTCTGCCCTACACAGCCACTTAATTAGGTAATTACTAGTATCGAATATATCGCTGTTTGTAATATCGGCATTTTTGTTGGTATCGGATCGGTATCGGCGACAAAAGTGGTATCGGTACATCTCTAATATACAGTATATATATAAAAACGCAATACAATTGTGAACTTCCTCCACCATCAAGTCCAAGCTTCCGAAAACAAATAACTAGCTAACTAATCCCATGCCCGACCTGGACTGGTAACCGGTCGAGAGGCCGCGGTTCGCCATATGATTAAGCCGTCTTATCGGCTTTCTTCTCCCCCGGAATAATTATGTAAATCCTATCCTAAATCCTACATATTTGCGCATTACCCAAATATCGTCAAGCAGTAGAATATGGTTTTCCCTTATCCAGGTACCCACGGAGAGATGTGCATATGCTGACAACAAGTGAAGCCACAGATTACGAATCTTGACCGAAAAAGCGACGACAAAACGAATTGCCGTTCGAGTACCGCAGCATTTTTTACTCAAATATTCTGGTCAACTTCCTAACTGTTCGTTAAGTTAGTTAGAATACCGAATCACTTCATTGAAAGAAGCGAGCTATGTCTGTAGCTGTGTTCTCATTCATCTTCTCTCGACCATCGCATGAATAGCATTTACTGGATTGAGCAAATCCAAACCCCTCCGTGCACCTAGGAGACAACCTTTCGTTTGAAAGGCTCTCACTAAAAATTCAAATCACTCTTGCCCATCCCAAATATTCAAAAATAAATGAAAGATTTACAAATTTATTCTTGAGAAATAGCCAACATTTGTTGTAACGGACGACTATCTGATAAACGAAGCTTTCTAAGACAAGTCCGTATCAAAATACGATGACCAGTATTCAATGATTCCTCATTTTCAGTAAAATATTTAGCTGCAACACCAAGTATAAAGTTAGGGTGCTTGATTCGAGTCGTTGCTAATGCAAGCAAAATGGCAGTGGCTTCTTGTATGTTATGAAATCTGATATCTCCTCGTCGTTTAACAGTCTCTACAATTGAATAATACATTGTTGATCTCAAATTTGGTGATGCCAAGGAGCCCGCATACCTCAGCAGCTTAATTTGATGAATGAGAGTAGTTTGAGTTAGTATGCGAACAAAGGTTGGGTCATCAATGGCTTGATTCTCGAGATGCATAAAGAGCCCATCATACAGTGAACCTATTTGTACAGATTGTTGGTGTGCAATCATATTTATTGCCATAATACATCTAGTGACATCCGATGGAAAGAATTCATTTATCCTTCTTTGAAGAATTGTGACCAGAATGGACATCACTGCACTGTCACTTGGAATTCGTAGCATCACAAAATTAAGAAATACGAATGATAAATCAAATGTAGTAAAACGAGATGAATGTAAGAGAACCTCCTTCACAAGATATTGAAAATATGGGTCATTCAACAGTTTCCTTTGTTCAATAATGGAAGCATTATCGACCTTCAAATCTCCCATTAACTGCAACCGATTTTCTCGTGTTAGATTGATAGAATCATCAACGCTTCTTGGTTGATTGGAATTTGACTGTTTAACTTTCACAAGAGCGTTAATGTACAAAACCAGTTCATCTTTCCATAATTTTCCACCTCTGACAGCATTTTGAACTTCTAACAAAACATCATCAATATTTTGACACTTTTCTAAAAGTGAGGAAGTTGTGACTAATGCTGGCAAATTTTCCTCATCCAATTTTTTCTTCAGATCATTCAAAACGAAATCACGCTCAATATATTCTTCAATGTCTGACAAGAAATTTAATTCTCTCGGACGACTTGAATATTGCCTTTTACATAACATTTTCTTGTCGGATAGATAACTATATTGCAGAAAGCTTTTCGAACCAAAATAATTAAATTTTGACCTGACAATGGTTCCACAAAATTTTTTACAGCAGAGGGCAAACGTTTTCTGGATATGCCAAGTCGTAGCCATGGCTATGATACATCCAGTTTTTTTCTTGTGCTATTCAATTTCTTTTTTAGGTTGTCGTGCCGCCACTGTAACCACCTTCTACGTTGAGAACAGAACTGATATCCAGCGATGAACCCAATTACAAAACAGCTCACCGATGATACAATTAAAGTTATATCTTTGCTAGAAGACATATTTTGTCATTGTCTCAAACCAATTCCAACAAATACCTGAAATAGATATAGTAGTAAGTATTTGACAAGCTTTTATATATATACATTCACTGTTAAAAAAAAATTTCGCATTAATTTATAAGAAATGTATCATAAAATTATTATCAGCAGTAAATGACATGGACTGATGGTTTAAGTATAATTACAGACCCCACCACAATCAATGCCATGCTATGTCTGTACAGATTTATTATTAACAAATAATTATCTATAGAAAATAACAGACGCCTTGGCGACATATAAAAACTATATCAACATAGAAAGTTGGGTTCACCTAAAAAAACAAAAATCCCTTACACAATGCTAATTTCACACAATTGTAGCAAACAACAACATTTCAATTTCTAAGAGGAAATACTGTACTGTATGCTGTAAAAATTATTGCATATAAATGTCAAAATAACCAACATTGCACACATTAGGCATGAGAACATATAACAAAAGATGATGTATGTCAAAATCATATTGTTTTTGCTGACAGGACTGATTCTAACATCCGAATATTACTAATACGGATTTGAATTCAATTTGGAACAAAGCAAAGTTATGTACGACCACTCTACTGAAAATTAACTTGAACTAGTATCAGTTACTTTCACAGTGAATGAGTGAGAACTTTTCAACCAGGCAGTCTTATCTGCACCATCAGATCCATTTAGCGACATTTCTGTGAAATGTAGCTGATTGTTTTCATCAATTAAAACAACAGTTTGTACCCTAGTGCCATACAATCCTAACCCACTGATCATGACGGAGCAATATTTTTCTAGTATTGTATCATCCAAAGCTCCATTGCATTGTTTCCTTACAATTTCATCAGGATATAATGAAGTTGTATCAGATAATAAAGCCTCAAACAAGCAATTGGTTAAATCATTTGGACTCATGGCATCACTATTCTCAATAATGTTATCAAAAGTTTTTCGACCATGTTCAATTTTCTTCCAATCTCCATTCAAGGTTGTACATGCAACTACATTGGTTTTGTCTGCCAACAACCTCGGATTTTTGTCATCCCAGTTACTATAATATCCCAGACAAATTTTTCCACACGAATCAATTTTTCCTGCAAGTATGTTGAACTGTCTATGTTGCTTATCTTGCAGTAAATTTAAATAATCCATAGGATCAACTTCATCTTTCAAATAGTTAATAACCAGTTTCCCTCTTGGTAGTTTGGAAGGATCTTGAGATCCAACCAACACATTCGTCAAGGCAGAAAATTTTCCAGATTTTGTAACTCCAAGCCATGTCCCCCCTTCCACACCAGGTTCCATGTCGATTCCGCAAATAATATGTTGGAAATCAGGATGGGTATCAGCAGACTTCGTTGGTCTACTCATGTACTCATCTCTATTGGCGGCCATTATTAACTTATATTTGGCTCCCACATCATTATTGCAGTGTATAAATACAATACACATTCCTGATGTTATTTGTTTATAAGTAGTGATTATTCAACCTATATATTTTCGTTATGCCACATAACTGAAATACGTAAAATAATATAAGCTAAGAAAAGAGAGAATAAGACATAATATAAATTCACATGAAAGTTTAGTATTTCATCAATTCTATTATATTGCAAAATAAATTGATTTCTCGATTTTCAGAAGCATGCCAATTATGAATCTAATATCTGCCCAACTAAAATGACTGCTTGACAACGAAGTCAACTTCATTTCTCAAAGCAGATAAACTGCATGTTTATTTTATACTATTCTCATCAATAAATTTCTGAGAAATTTTCTTAATAGCGTCTATTGTTGATGATTTTGGGAAAGCCTCAAGAAAGCTTTGGCCATTCTCCAAACATAATGTTAACTGTGGGTCAAGTGGTACGCGCCCAAGAAATGGAACATCTTCTCTGATAGACAGTTCTTCACCGCCTCCTTGGGAAAATACAAGAGAGCATTCAGAGCAATGCGGACACACATATCCAGACATATTTTCTATTATCCCCAGTACAGGCAACTTTGTCTTTCTGCAGAAAGTTAGTTCTCTTTGAACATCTGCTATTGCAACAGCCTGAAAAAAATATATATATATATCGGAAAATGTATTATTTTTTAGGGTTGATTTTTACACTCATTCAATATTCAATCTAGTTTAGATAACCAAATTAATCTTAACTCTTGAACACAAGCAAAACATTTTGCTGAACTAACTAGGGTGGCTTACCCACTTTGCGGCCACGACCTATTTGCGACCATCAACTTCATCGATTAAATTAATGCCGGAAAAATTAAAGTACCGCGACGATATTTCTCGCGCGTTATCGTCCACTTATCCCTCGTGGCTCTGCGAAATTACACAAAAATCGGGCCACAAACAAAAAGTTATGACCGAAAACCCAACCGAAGAAAAAAAACGACCCATTTTTCCATGTCGCTAACTACCCATTGTCCCTTTGAAATAGCTTGAAAAACCATACAAATATAAGATAAAATGATGAAACTTGGCAGGTGGGTAGAGTTGTGTTTCTTTTAACCATCTTTAAAGTTTGGCATTTTTACATTTAAAGGAGTGGGAATAGGGGGGTGCACATTTCCAATACCTCGATAATATCTTTGTGGACCAATTTGCGACCACCGTGTTTTTGTCTGTTTGATTGCTGTGATTTGCTTATAATATAAAAGTTTTGTTCGAAATAAATGTGTTCTTAAAATATATGACGGTCAAAAATGCAATTAGCGTCCATTTTTTTCACGCATGGCTGTGTATGCCCTAGTCTCGACGCAGCAGAAACGATGTTCAAGCCTTGAAATCCGTGGTCGCACACTGGTCGTTCGGTCGCAAATACGTCTTCAGAGTGTCATACTTTGGTGGTTTGTATAGCTTTAACCCTTCAACCCCTGGTCGTAGAAAGTTAATTCGAGGTTAAGCGTGTAGAATAAATACCAAAGCACCTACGATCAAAAAATTAACGTGTTAGAAATATTGGTTTTTTGCTTTATAGCGGTTTGAATGAAATCGTCCGCAGACTGGCTACACCACCCCATATTCAGTTTAAAATTGCATAAATACTGAAATAATGAATGAGTCAGTTAAAATTTACCTGAGGTGTAGTAACCAAGATTGCACCGTCTATTCGTGACCTCAAATTTTCTAAAACAGCCAGATGTTCGTCACTTGTCCCAGGCGGAGTATCAACAATGAGATAGTCCAATTCATCCCACACAACATCCTGAACAAATTGTTTTATCATGCCATTTTTCTTTGGCCCTCTCCACACAACAGGATCATCCTTATTATTTAAAAGAAAACCTATGGACATTAAGCTAAGTTTTTGCTCCTTGTCAACAAAAACAGGCACCCAACCATCATCACATTGATGTATTGAAGCATCTGCAACTCCCAGCATAATGGGAATACTTGGTCCACAAAGATCCACATCCAGAATACCAACTTTTTTACCAGAATATGTTAAACATAATGCCAGCTGAGTTGCAATGGTGCTTTTGCCAACACCGCCCTTCCCCGAAAGAATGACAATCACATGTTTTACAGATTGCAAATTATCCATCTTTTAGTCAATCTCCACTATTCTGCTATTGCCTAATAGGCCTATTGCAGTATCACAGCATAAGCATGAAAAATTGCGCACCTTGTGGTAACATGTCTGCATGTGAAGAGTCGAAGACTTCAGTAGTCGACTCTCCTGTGACAAATTGCGGCTTTTGTGCCCATATATTTGAGCAATGTTTTCTTGTCCATATTGATGTATGGGCAGTGCTTAGACGCTGAATTTTCAAACTAATACTGTAGATTTGGTGGACGGGCACGTAATGTACGTTTTTAACTTTGTCTCACGTCATGCTCGCCTTACAGGTATCTCTGCATTTTGTTTGTCGCTTTATTGCTGTTTTGTTTTATCCCAGAGAGATATAAAATAGATTAATAGATGAGAGATGTATAATTATGATGAATAATATATGTATATCATGTGGTAGTTTTTAAAGTACCACTAGAAGGCTATTGCATTTATTTATTCCTAAATTCAGAGATGAAATGATTGATGGATTGATTAACCGGACGAGAGGCCGTGGTTCGCCATATTGATAAGCCGTCTTATCGACTTTCCTCTCCCCCGGGATAAATATGTAAATCCTAAATTTACTTTAGAGTTCTGATATTTCACCCCGAATTTCTCTGTTTTGTGTTTATTTGTGGTAACTGAAAAAATGTATATTTATATATCTCGGTGGTGGTAACACGGATTTTATAGTACCACCATGCGTGTCGGACGATGTCAAGGGTTCGATTTTGCAGACAACTCGCTCAACTGAAATGCTTTGGTAAGCGTGCGGTAAGCAGAAAACCAGGGGTCTAGTGTAGTGATGTAATTTTCGTATGGCCGGCTCTTGTTGTGCATTTTCAGTTTATGTCGCGCCAATTGTTTCCCGATTGTTACAGTTGATTTGCAATGCTTGGTGGCGGCCTCCTTTATCAGAGTTAATAAAACTATCAATGCCTCCGATACGATACTTGGCACACTGTATCCAGGAGGTATCAGTCATTATCTGGATAAGTTATAATATATACACAAACATTTATTTACGCATCGCGACTTGAAACTATAATGATATCATTTAATTTTGTTTAGAGCAAAAACCAATAGTATCCTCATGTACTCCAGTCACTACATGTTTTGTTGCCAAGCGACGCTCGCCTTCGGATGCCACAGCGTTTGTCATTTTACGCGACTATGCCAGTATGCCGAGTAAGGTCTTCCGCCATTATCGGATGTTTGATTTTAGAGCCAGCAACTGACCAGTGCTGTTAGCCGAATCGTGGTACCGCGTACTCTTTGGGTGGCGTGCTCTAAAATCTGCCAACACTTAACAATTAGTATTTTAGCACAATATTTCCGATGTAACATTGAGAATAAGAGTTTTAAGTGACTTGCGATTTCAATAGATGAATTCGGAGTGGAAAGTGGTGACTCCATCTTCGGCCCCATGGGCCGGGGCCTACGGCCCATCAAATTGGGCCTCGGCCCATCAGGCTGATGGCCGCGGCCCATCAAGTGTGTAAAGAAACTATTCACTTGAGCTAAGACAAAACAGTCCCCAAACTCATAATAGAACTATAATGTAAAAAATCTGAACCAAATTTGCCCAACCCTAACCTGGTGACACATACTACAGGAGTTTATTTTCTGGTTCGAATATTGACAATTTTGTGAAAATTGAAAATTTTGGTAAGATAATTGAATTTTTCCTGACGGTGTGTGGCCCAATTAGATGGGCCGTGGCCCCGGCCCATGGGTCGTAGAGGAGTCACCACCCCTGTAGGAATTTCGAATTCTAACCAATTCACGTTTATAACTTGGCTTGAAATACCCTAGCGGGATTCTTATTATAAATGCTTTGCTAAATTATATCACTCGGATTAAGGTTGAAGATGTAAAATATACTCTTTATTTGAACACAAACGTGTGAAACATTTATTATTTAGGCTTTGTTTTGTTGTTAGAATACTGTACGCTCTGAGATAGTAATTTACCTTGATAGATTGCAGGCCCACTTTCGAAATTTCATTTACTCAAGTGAAACATGTTTTTTAGTAGCAAAACTCATCAAATACCGGTAGTGAAGTAGGCCTAAATTTTGCGATAAAATGAGTTTTATCTGGCTCAGACAACAGTCAAATTATTTCAAAACATTTAGGTCGAAAGAAATATTAGCTATTATCTTTAAATATTTTATATAAAGTGAAACGAATATTCTTTTAAAATATTTTTACTTTACCGAGTTGATATAAATTTGAATTATGAATGATTTGTATGCATTTATATAGTGTATTTATTATATTTTCTATAAATTTAGAGTTTATATAACATAATATGGTAAAAATGTAGAAATTACTAGTCTTGTCGTTGGGTAACCATATATTGAATAACATAGTACCACAAAAATATTTTCCAGGCGAAATCTTACTTAAATTGAATCATGTATGATAGAGCTCCAAGACCAACAGCTAACTATCTTGTTGGTAGTACAAAAGACAATGTGGGTCCAGGTACGTACGATCCTCGTATACCAAGCGCAAAGTGGCTGAAAGCAGATGGATATGCCCCATTCTTATCAATGTCTGGGAGAGAGACTATGTTTCATGTTGGTGACTCGGTCATGGCCGCCCCTGGTCCAGGAGCATATGATCCTAAGAATCCTCAATTCTCAATAAGAGGTGGTCGCACTCTGGCTAACCAAGAACGCAGATTTGCTAACATAGCATCAGAACATCGCATGACTCCAGGCCCTGGAAGCTATAATTTATCAAAAAAACATGACTGGATAAAAACTGCGCCAACTCCTGCAGCGCAGATTACCGATGATCCACAAAAACATCATAAAGTAATTATCACAAGCAAGGTAAAATACCTACGTCAGCCTGATGCTCCTTCCATTCCAAGTCCTGGACAAGCATATGGGTATGAGGAGACTGATGATGGCACACTTCAAAAACAGTCTCCTCCACAGAAAGATAAAACAATGGGTCCAGCATACTATAACCCCAAACAAGTAGACACTGTTACCACAGCTAAATACAAAGGGGTCCACTTTGGAGCACTAAGGTCATCTCGAATAAAATTTTCTGGAAAAACAGGGCCTGGGCCTGGTGATTATAATCCTTTCAAAGATGGTGAAGATAAGTCTCAAACTAACCTAATTCAGCTGGTAAATCCAGACGGTAAAAAGTTTGAATCTAGGTTGCCAAGATATCATGAAATTGTAGCACAAGAAGAAGAAAAAAAGGCTGTTCCTGGGCCTGGCAAGTATGATATATCTGGACAGTTCGCAAAAAAGCCAGCACCCGTAAATACAGAAGGACTTGAAGTAGAGCATCCACCCTTCATGTCTCAAGCTAAAAGATTTGACAATGATTCAAAAATCACTCCTTCGCCTGGGGCATACAACGACCCAAGAAATGCCTTGGAAGCACTCAAAAAAATAACAGGAATGAAACGAAGTCCTTTCGGACAAACGGCAGTTCGGTTTCATACTGAGACAAAGACTAAACATACACCAGGACCTGGAGCTTACAATATATTCAGTTATGGGGTGGCACAGGAGAGCTTGAAGAAAGCCTATTTGGAGAGCACTCGAAGGGGCGCTTTCGGTACTACTTCTTCAAGAGTTATGCCTGTTATAAAAAGGCAACAAGTTTCAATCCCTGGGCCTTCACACTATCAGCCGAAAGATCGACCTGAGGAACGATATAAAAAGCAACTAACATCTGCTTTCTCATCTTTGACTGATCGTTTGCACTCACCAGTTGCTCAAACTTTGAAAGAAAATCCTCCTCCGGGCTCATATGAAGTGGCACATTCCTTTAAGAAAACACAGGACAAAAGAAATTCAATGCATCCGAGGACAAAGGCAGCTCTTCAGCGAAATAGGGCATTCTTATCATCATCGGACCGATTTGCACCGCCTCGTGATATTGTGATACACCGACCAGATAGTGAGGTTCCAGGTCCAGGCACATACAATGAAGAATCTCCTAAAAACAAAGTTGCTCTAGCTCTGATGGTCACGAAAGATGAACGATTTAAGCAACATAAAAAAGATGAAGTTCCTGGCCCTGGTGCTTATGAACTCAGTCCATTGTTAGCCAATACAATTTTACAAGGAACCTTCAATGCCACATTACACAACCCAGTCGCACCTGCGATTGATACGGGTAGAATTTCAACGAATAAGCAGGCTTTTGTGTTGGGTGTTTAGCAGTGAAGCCATAATATACTTTTTATTTGATTACTTACTTCTATTTGTTTTCTGCTTAAAATACTGTATTCATCTCTTATTATTAGTGCTACCTAGGAGAGTGCTTCAGATCAGTTCTATCGGTAATGGACATTCTTTTTTTATTACTGTAGTTTTCCGACTGTATCATCACTGAACGAATGAAATAAATAAACCTAACATTACTCCTATTACATTCTTTTTTCATTACTGGAATATTCTGGGTGCATCATCACTAAACGAATGAAATAAATAAACCTAACATCACGCGTAATATATAATGTGTGTTGTGAATTGTCAGAGTTCTTATAAATATTTTGTTTCAAGAGAATTAAACATGTTATGGTGCTCGACTGTGTGGCGCATCGTCATAAAGCGGTAGGAATACGCTCGCCACTGTACCTCTGATTACCCTCCTTTGTTCGCAAGAACGAATCCCATGCTCCGCGCCACCGTAGGGTGATTTACCGCTGGTCGGTTACTGATTCCTATTCTATCAAGTCCATGCTTCCGAAAACAAATACCTGGCTAACTAATCCCATACCCGACTTGGCTGGTAAACGGACGAGTCTAAACCGGTCTACAATCCATTGATGTATTAGGTTTAAGACGACAGGATATAACAATTAGTAGTGATCCGGTGTCTCGAAAATGTCGTGTCCGCATGTCCAACTTGTCCTATTTGCGCCACGTGTCCAACTAGTTCTACTTGTCCAACGTGTCCTATTCTTCCGTTGGAACGAGTGGGTCACGTCCCGCATATAAGTGGGACACTTTGGACGTGACATTTTTGAGACACTCAAAGTGATCCATGGTCGCTAATTTTGCAAAGTTAGAGCGCCACTTCTAATGTTTGTTTCGGTAACAAATAATTCAAATTATTATTTTGCCTGAATCTCAACTAGGGGTTTCAAGCTTGATTTCATTTGGCGCAAGGCCAACACTTAAATGAAATTCTTCTATATGTTCCAACAACTTCAAATATCTCTAAAAGCATGTATTTCGTTAGAATTGTAATTGTCAAAAAAGACTTATATTATAATAATTAAGATTGTGCAAACGATAAAAAACGGCATATATGAAGCTGAATGATATTTTTTATTGTTACTTTCATCAACTATTGTTCATTTATTCGCGTTACAACGTTATCGCAACTTACTGATATAGCTCAGCGATCGCTGTTTTTGCTAGTTGTTTTCTCACTAGGTAACTCCATTTTATTTCATCATTGATATTATGGTTCCCGTACAATTGAACCCACGTACATTTGAACTCACGACAATTGCACCTAAGGATTTTTTTGTTTCACGGATATTTGAACCCGTACTAACCCTAACCCATGGGTTTTAGCACCCGCAAATAGATTGAATCGCGGATATAGGATGGGTCCAAATGTACGGTCACCAGATATTATAGTTTTTCTGAAATGTACACCACACGTAGTTTGCTGGCGGGGCTTTTCGTCTAGTATTTGGCGCTGCCCTGTTCGTTTTCACGTCCTAATTTTTTTGTTCTGCCGTGCTTGTCCGTTCTTTGTCATTGAATCCTGGTTAGTGACTACATTAACAATATTGACAGATTATGAACGGCTATGATCGAGTCAGGTTCGACAGAAGTTGAGACCTTTAGCTAGATTTTCGATTACTAGTTTGTGCAGTGTAATGTGCGGAGATCACACAAAAAATTTATTAAATTATAACGACAGAAATACTATAGAATATTTGGACTTTTTCTCATTATGTTATTCAACTGAATTAAAATGTTTCGGGTCGTAAATTTACCCACCATGTTACGAATTAGTGCAAAAAACATACCATCATTTCAGTGACAAAAATTGATAGCAAAACCAGCTAATTAAGGAACTATGTTGCAACGATGCAGTTACAACGTTTGTGATACAGCAATTCATTTGATCTGTACATTTTTGCAACCTTACCCGAATGCATGAATCTATGTTTGGGGTTATACGAGAATTTAATGCCAGTTTGCAGTTTATTCGCGCATACAGTGGCGTTTGGCAAAATTTGATATCTTTAAATGACCTAAAATTAAAATACCAGTGAAGGATGGTAGAGGCTTTACTGCGGTCGAAAGCTGATCCAAATACAGAGCAATAACCGTTCCCGAGGATTATACGACCTGTGGAAAAGATGCAACAGCTAGTTTTTCATTGCTGCAAATATAGATTACCGAACTATAACCACAGTCTGTTACAATAAAATACATATAATAACAATGAATATTATGATTTTGAAACAATCATTAAAGAGCGCATGCTATCCATGAGTTATATTATTTTGTCGTAAATAACTTGTATTTGTGGCAACAAGAGGGATGTACGTTAAAAACTCAATTCACGCTACTATTGTTACTTTAGTCATCGCCAGCAACCTTTAGTAAAACACGGTTCATTCATTAAAGTTTCTCGGGTCGCTGCTTTCTATTCGTTGTTATTGACTTTTAAAAAATGTTCTCTCAACCGAATCTTATATGCGCTCAGTTTGCACCGCGTTTCCCGCAGAGGGGAATCCCCTTTTATGAGAGTATGGTGTATATTCATGATTTATTCACTGAAATTGAGCGAGCCTACCCGCACCAGTATTAGGTCTAGTTTTATCGTCTGTTGGCGGGGTGAAAGTAAAGGGTTACCGGTACTCTTCCTCCACGGAGGCTAAATCTTTATCATTTGATTATCATACTATAATTATCCAGATTGGGGTACGAATAGAAAAGTGTAGCAATGGGAATCAAAGGGTTGAGTGGTTTCGTTCACAGATACCCCAAACCTTTATTGGAAGATATCAATGTCAGCGACACGAAAGTTATCATCGATGGATCAGAATTGTTGTATTTTCTTTACTATGAATCTGGCCATTTGGATTTCAGGTAGAATATTGCGATTTAGCATACCGGTAGTTTGGATATATTCAATAAAGTAATCATTAAATATTCAGCCCGATAATGAACGATTGATTATTCAGCTTTCTCAGCCATCTTTGTGAGTAAGATTGGAGGAAATATTTCAAAGTAAAATTCCGATTGCTTGATAACAAACGTGTATTCCGATGAATGGGTACGGCGTATCGGTCATAAATGATTCAAATTGATGGTATAAAAGAATTGTGCTTTTTCATTACCGATGAAGAACTAATGAAACGTTTGCAATAGCATCCATTCAAAATGTATAGCCTCACAAATTACTCATTCATTCTCAGCTCCATTCAATTGAAATATTTTCAGATGTGGCGGCGATTATACGTCATTTCGATCTACAATACAACAATTTGCCGAAGCATTGAACCGTTGCCGTATTCGACCTTACGTGGTATTTGACAGGTAAACAAAATGTCAGGTGTTAGTGTACTGTACAATATACCGAAAAAAGACTGAAATGGGCTCTACTCGCTTCTTAAACTATAGCAATATTGTATTCCATAACTTCAAAACCTATAACTTGACAAACGGCGCTATTTAATGCGGCATTTAAACTAGCGATAAAATGATGGAACTATATATTTATAAACCGCTTTATTTTAAGAGATTTTTATCTTTTATTGGTGGTTGTGCTTTTTATCGTGATATTGTTTTTAGTTTCAAATCGGAAAACAACATACAAAAATATCTCAAAGACAGAACTGCCAAATTGGGTGGTATAAGAGAACTGGTGAACACGGGGGATACAAGAATAAGAGCAAAACCTTTGCTTGGAAGTCAGTTTAAATTTTATTTGTACCTTTTTTTAAAACAAAACGATTGCTAAGACGCAACGTAGCAAGCATACACACCATTACCAGTGATTGTGCGCGGAAAGAAGTTATACCATTTCACCGCGGGGGAGTGATGCATATAACACGTCCTATATGCTGTTTCCTCCTTCTGCCATATCAGTCACGTGACTAGCTAGCTAGTGCAATTTGTTTCAATCATTCTTCCTTGCAAGTATGTATCAAAGTTTCAATTTATCTTTTCTAGAGGTTGTGTTGACGCAAACTTTAACCGAACTTGATGTCCCTTTCATTGTTGTTCCCGGAGATGCTGATGCTAAAATCGCCGCAATTGCCAACGAACTTGACGCGATGGTTCTTGCGTCGGACACTGATTTCTGTATATTTGAAGTCAAGAAGGGATTTCTTTTTATGAGCGACTTTAAATGGCAAGGGGTAATATTATAGCGCAGTAGACATTGTATTACAATTTTGATGTTTTTGTATTTGAAGCAAGATGTAGAGTTACTCCGATGTGGTTGTGTTAACTGTTTAAAATAGCCAAAATTACAAAAACTAGTTGTTGAGTATTTATTTCTGCATTTTATGTCATGCATAACAGTCAACGTTTATTTTGAATATGTTCAATATACAATGCGGAAGTAAATGGGTATCAGTTGTACGTTTCCTGGTGACGCATTATTAATAGTATGTCACGACCAGTGTTCCCTCTAAGAAAAGTTTACACTGAAAAAATGTTTGTTTTACTGAGCATGAATATTTTAAGACTAAGCAGAGTCCTAAATGATTTACAAAGATTGTGAAATATTACAATAGTAGTATAATATATTATCAGAATGCAAACAAAGTACACATTCAACTCAAATAGCTTTTCCTTGTTCTCATGCTCTTCCAATGTTTATACACTTTGTCAATGTCTATTACTGGATCTTGATATGTTACTGATTCATTATTATCTTCATCATCTTTGTTTCTGATGCTGTGGTCATGACAAACTTGACCATCATGAGTTGGTCCAGATGACACTGCCCTAGCCTTTTTTAGAAATGTTTTTCATTTTATATCAACGCCGATCTTGAGGTTTTATTTATAGGTAACAGAATCTGAGCGGTCTTGTCGAGGGAAAATATTTCGTCAGTCAATCCTCGAAATTACGTTTGGAACTCCGAGAAACGCTTTGTCTGTTCTCGAGCCATTGATGAGCAAACAAGACGGAATCATCGGTGAAAATTTTGAGGACTTCTTGCAACTTTTACCGCGGGTAAATAACTATATAATTTTCAGATTTTGGGATTTTATACCCGCTTTTGGAGCACGAGATGCTCATAATATTTTTTTCATTGTATTTTTCATTAAAGCAGGATTTCGTGACGTTGTATTGATTCAATATACATATATACAGAAAAACAGTAAAATAGTTTAATATTGGATGAGCATTAGTCGAACCATTACGTACATAGTTGATATCGGAAAACTTTGGTTTACAGGAAGTGAGGCTTCCAAGGAATCTTCCCAGAAAATTTCGTCGTCCAAATACGATTGAATGTGCGTTGGTGTGGCTCGCCCGTTATCAAGATAACGATCAAATTATCCGATTAATTGAGGCCAAAACTACAAACTTTCCGGAGGAAAAGTTCAGGGAATGTTTACGTATATATCAAGATCTTCCTGACATCCAAAGTTTTATGGATACGTTGCTTAACGGTGGCGAATCAGCTGACATAAAACCATATTGTTTTGAGACCATCGAAGGAATGCAAGAACCAGTGAGTTTCATGCCGCTTATGGTGGATAACCCAGAGAACAACTCTTCCCATGCAGCATCGTTTTCAATCCGCCAATCGTTTTACGAATTGGGATGCATCATCGATTTTAAGGGAGAAGAAAAGGATAATGTGGTGGAACGTCGTATTGTAGAAATGGATCGCATTGGGCAAAATTATGGAGCAAAAGTGATGACGGTGACAGTTCCAAACTCGGACCGAACAGAAGAATTACATCTTGAAATGACACGGGAAGAATTAAGAGTATGCGACACTCGTGAAGTAATCATGGCTGCACGGGAAGAATATCTTACGAAAGCTATGATACAGAATCGAGATTTTTCAGATGCAGCTGTTGTTGGCGAGGAAAACAAGCTTCTCGTTTTGAGTATTTACAGTTGGGCAAGATGTCAGGATCAGACACCGCTGGACGAAGTGTGCAAAGCACTAGCACTGACGTTTTCGTGTTCTTACCATGATATTAGTGGTAAATCTTTGCCGGATGCCTTTCGTCGTATATCTGATGACAGTTATGACAAGGTAGCATTGCACTTTTCTGCGCAATGGCAAGCCATTATCTGTGAAGCAATGCGACTAAATAACCTCTTGGAATGTCCAATACCAAATTCAAAAGTCGGTCACCTTTTCTCTGGTACGTTGTTTCAGAAAGCACACGCTTTCTTTCTACAAAATGAAGACCTAACAAATGATGATGTCGTAGACCTGCTGTTTCATGACTTGGAACAGCCGAAGCAATTCTTTGAGAAAGTTCTTGATGTTATGATTAGAGGACAATAAATGCATATTTTTCATATCCTATGGGATTATAATATATAACATAAAATAATATTCAATATACCTACACGGTAACTATATTTACATCTTCATTCTCATTGATATAGGTCCATAGGATATCGACATGATATTTTTTGTGACTTCATGTCGAATATATAAGAAAAGAGAGTGAGCAATGCTCAAATATATGAACATGAAAGTCAAAACGATGTAGCCCAGGCATGCAATCTGTCACAGTAGATTACCGTCTCAGCATTCCAAACAACGTAGCCTGACAACCACTGACGCGAACACGGAACAGCCACGGAATGTAAAATTTTGATGACATCATCGCACACAAGAAACGAATACCATAAAGCCTACAAAAATTTTTGAAATAAATAAAAGTCATGACCTTCTAGCGGAAAATACAATCTTCAACCACCAGAAACTTCAAAGCAACTGGCCTGTGATAATGACAAAACCCATTTTTTTTAACATCAATATAAAAAAAACATATGTACATTTCGTATCCAAAAATTATGTTCATTTAACATTTATACAGCATTCCTTATTGTTTGAGTTATTTTTGTTTGTGGCTACAATCGTGTTTGAATAATCGCCTTTGTAAATGTTTTTACCAATTATAATGCATATTAATGACAATTAACTTAATATTCGATTTCCAAAAGATATATCAAATCCAGTTTGTTTGATTTTTTTCTTGATATAACTCATCAAAAGCCAAGCTTTGATTTATCGGAAAAAAAAATTGTCTTTTCCAAAAAATTTTGACTTCTTCAAATCCTTGAAATTTGCATGACTAGACATATTTATACTTTTATTTTTGCTCATGCTGTCGAATGTACAATGTTCAGAAAAAGCGTCGAGTTGTTGTTCCGACAATTTTTTTTTAAGAAATTTTGATTCAACTTCTTTTCGAAGATCTTTCTTCAAATCTTCGTAAGTTACAAAAAATATTCTTTCCTCGTCTTCTTGATATTTCCAAAGACATCATAAATCAGTAAAGTGAGTATTAATTAAATTTATTTCTGTGATCTATATGTGAATATATATCGCATATATAGAACAGTCATGTTTACATATTGCCTGCTTTTCAGCCAAGGGAAGTCCCGGAAGCCGTTAGTGGTTAGTATTATTATTAGATTTATAAAATTTCCGTATATATATCATTAAACGGACCTCCTGTAGTATGCGCAACAAGATGGCGTACAACCTGAATTCAGGTTGTGTACCAGGTTAGTGTGCGCATACTTCAGGAGTACCGTTAAAAACAGGGGTGTGGCAACCTCCCAAAATTTAGTCATTTGCAAACCCGGATATTCGCATCTATGGACACTTGCGCCCATGGAATTTTGCACCCGTCAACATTTACACCCATTGATACAAGTCTTTGAAGTGAGAAGTTCTATTGCCATTTGCGCCGAAATAGGGACATCCAAATGTTATGAATAGGAACGGGGACGAACTCACTGCAAACCCGAACACGATTATTTTGGATTTTTATCTATTAACTCAGATCGAGGAAAACGACCAGCATCGGTGTAGATTTCTCTCCGAATGCGACGCCGACCACAGATGATGAAGCCCGCGGGCCTGGGTTTGGACCACCCGTGTGTAGACACCTTTATAAGGAAATAATACAAAAACTATGAAAGTGCTGTTAACAACTCGTTCCATAAAAATCCTGCTTTCACCAAGTCGAGGTCGTTTGTCGCTCTCTGTTCTTTTCTTCTCAATTCTTCCTTCTCTGAGCACCTCTCTCTAGTCTTGTACAATTAGTTTACCACTGACTTGATTAACTATGTACGGCCAGTCTTCTTCGCCACCGTCGACCAACCACCGTGCATTCGACTACGTTTGCGTTATTTCATCGAAAGAAAATGACCAACAAAAGGGGGAGTGGAATTATAACTCGCAATGACAGTAAAAAAACATAGTAACCCTCACCAAGAATACAGTCAACTTAAAATTTGGAATCCTTCATGCCGAATATATATGTATACAGTAGTTGGTAATTATGGTTTGTCTGAAACACGATTATTCGCGAACATGCCTGTGGATTCGTTCATGAGGCGAATGAACATGGGGAAAATGTCATGAGTACAAATAATCGTGGGTGTATGGATACAAATGTACGTGAGTGCACGGATACAAACGTACATTAGTGGAAATATACATGGGTGCAAATGTACGTAGGTGCAAATATCGGTGGATGCAAATGTACATGGGTGCAAACCAGGGGCGGATTAAGCCCCTTTGGTGCCCTAAGCACTGAAGACTTTGGTGCCCCCTCATGTGTAATTTGATTATAAAAACAATATAACCACATAAGTGTATTATTATTCATTAAAAATAATCACAACCAACAGTAAATAAACAACTTTTACGAACATTTTTAGGTTTTTTAACTGTTATATATAGCCGATATATATATATCGGCCGTTTACTGCCGATAATATATATATGCAAACACGCAATATCGGGCCGTTATATCGGTTGAGCTATAATCCTGAGGAAGTGTAACAATAAAGATTCACAACTGTAGTTTGAAATTTTACCTGTACCTAGTAGTCTACCTCAGAGTGGTTCAAGGTTGCTAGGTTGAAGGACCGCAAAAACTTTTGAGGAGGTATCGCGGGCCGCAAGTCGAAGAAAACCCAAAAAGTGATCAAAATATCGCGAGTTTACTTACTTTAAATTTAATAAACAACGAGAGTTTACCGTTCTAATCAGACTCTTATTATGTTGCATGGTTGGCGTTCGTTTAAAGAAGATATATAAAGCCTTCAGTTATTACCTATCGATCTTAAGATATTAAGGTATTTGTCTGTATGTTAGATACGATACGCACGCGATATCTCACGAAAGCGAGGTTGAATCTGCTCTAAATTTTGCATGTGCATTTATCATAGCTCGGATCAGGAGCCTATTGATTTTGGATGGATTATGTCTTATAAGTAGCGAGTTATTATTTAATTAGTGATGGGACACATGATGTCATTATGGAGTAAGACCACTGTTTTGCGGGATCCCCTAACCTTCGATCGATAAGTCTTCGGTTTCTAACCGATATTCTAGTTTTAAAGTTAATTCCCGAGAATTACCGTTGTATTTTGAGCATCTCGCGTTTAATGTCGCTTCAAATTATATTCTTTCGTGACAGATATTACTTGAAATCATACCAGACACTGCGTGATGGGCAAAGAAATACATTTCCGCCGTGTTCTCTTATGTCACCTTTCTTGCGACACTCATTTTATTACGAATTGTTATATTGAGTAATTTAAAAACTTACAGCGTGAGCAAGCTTAGTGACATCGTCAAATACCAACCAAGTCAGTCTAAGTTGGTTTTCGGGACCTAGTTAAAAAAAAGGATTACGCGGCGTTAAGTCGGTTCTGCGTTTCGTCACTACTGTCACATGGCCGACGCTTGTAAACAGAGGAATGGTTTTACTAAAATAAAAGCACAGAGCGTTAGAAAAAGGGGTTTGAATCTCGGGATTCCAACCCCAGTTGAAAAAAAACTCAAAAACATTACTCCATTAGATACAAATATACGCTAAATTTGTTCTGTGAGCCGCACGGAATGTATCAGCATGACAGAATTTGGACCACCCTGGTCTACCTTATCAAGAAACTCCCGACTTTGCTGACCAATATATCGTTGAAATGCGATCGTGGAACCGCCACATAGTGTAAATAGTTTTTTGGTTCAATTGTTGAAGAGAATAGAAATTTTTTCAAAATAAAAATGCAGAAACAAGGTGAATACTAGAAAGAAAAAACAACAACAATTCAAGAAAACGACTCATAGGCTCATTTCGTGTCCAATAAATAAGTTTCAGTGTTTGTTTTTAGTAAAGAAGGTTAATATGATACTTGAAGACAAAAATAAGCGAACATTTTGAAGTTTGAGTCGCCTGGTGAACTCCTAATATTTTAATAAATACCGATAAACTATATAAAATTCTGCTCTAAAATTTCTGTGGTGCCCCTCTTTGCTTGGTGCCCTAAGCACGTGCTTATATTGTTTAATGGTTAATCCGGCGCTGGTGCAAACGTCTATGGGTGAAAATGTTCGTGGGTGCAAATGCACATAGGTGCAAATGTCCGCGGGTGCTAAAATTTATGGGTGGAAATGTATGGGTGCAAATATCGCTGGGTGCAAATATATTATGCAGGTACGAATGTGCTGGATGCAGTTCACGGGTGCAAATGGCGTGGGTGCAAATCTGCCGTCACCGAAAATGATAGTATGAAACGCATAGGTCCTTTGAATTTTTTTTTCTACCTAAATAATTTTGCATATCTTTTCTTTCCTAATGTCTTCTGGAAACAGTTCGTGCGGATGAGATGAGTCTTTATCACTCTGTAAATTGAACTTTTTGTGACATATTTATTAGCTTTATATTATATATTAACCCAATTGAAGAAAAATAAAATTTCACCCGCGCCAGTTAATAGTACAGTACATTAAACCTAAACTGTGTTTTTTCGGGTCATGGGTAAGCCGGTAGCAAATAACAGGAAGTTGTTCATTATCTCATAATGCAAAAACGCACAATAATTTTTTCAAATAACGAAGATATAATTAAGATTTCAATTTTTTGTATAGCCGAAATTGAATCGAGTGCACATCCTAACCTTTGGTAGAGAGAGAGAGAGAGAGCATCATGATATACTGGTATTTCACAAAATACTATTCACTGTCGAAATTTGCATAGAATGTGAAGGAGATTCAAGGATCAACTAAAAAAGCAATTATACCTTTGAAAAATTTTTGACAAATTTTTCAAAGATTGTATTTCATTTCGAAGGTGACAATCTCCGGAAACGAACTTCTCAGTGTAAGCAATTGTTTATATTTACGGTTTATTTGCTTCTTCTATATTTCCAACATTGCATATTAACCACATATTTTCTTGCGTCCAAGTTCGTTTCTGAAAAATACAAAAATTACACAAAATAAACGTCAATACATATGAACTTGGAAATTTATGTGGAATAGTTTTTTTTTACTTTATATCGTCATCAACTTGTGGTAATAATGTTTGTCATTACTGTATTGACTTTCAAAGCAATGTTCTCTCAACCGCATCCAATCAGAGCTGTGTTCGCACCGTGTTTCCATAGAGATGGAAATTCCCTCTTACGAGAGCATGGTGTATACCAGGGATGGCGAACAGCTAACCCGCGGGTCACAAAGTGACCCACCTGGTTTTATTCGTGATCCACCAAGGCACGAATGAAATAAAAAATGCTAACATATCAGTGATAAAAATTGATAAAACCGGCCTTAAATTAATCTAGCAATAACTAAACTATTATAATGTAATGTCAGTTGGGCAGTCAAGGCTGCGATCGCTCATAATCAAATTTATATTTCCAGGCCGGTATGGTAATTTTCAAAACCCCTAATCTTGGACGCATGTCTGCACCGATGTGTACCACTATTCAGCTATTGGCTCTGACATCGTTTATGATATAACAATGCAATTGATCTGTTCATTTTTCGCAACGTCTTGTCTCTTTCGGAAGTGCACCTGCATGCTGTTTCAGGGTTTATACGAGAACTAGATGCTACTTTGCATTTTATCAGTTTCTCATCTACAATGCCGCTGAGGAAACATAATCTTTCAGACTTGAAATAAAAACCTAGAAATCTGAAACACCAATGGAACAGTGTAAAAGTGCCTTAATATGATTGAAAGCTGATTGAAAAATATAACACTATCAGAGTGGAATTTCCTTCAAACTATTTGGTACCGTAAAATAGTTTTCCCCATCATCCTAAACGTTTTTGGTAATTAATATGCGCGTTTTCGTACTCTAATTTCATAAAACCGAGTGCCATAAAAAGTACCTAATAGAAATGCTGCATAATCCCAAAACTACACCAACAGAAGCTTATAAGATTCTTATAGATACAAACATTGATTAAATATCTGTGACCCACTCTCTTCTGTTCCGCAATG